TTTGTTTCTGCTTGCCTCAATTGTACTATCAACTTTTCATTTGAAGTTGTAACTTTCCTTAGTGGAATTCTTGCCAAACTTCTGTGTGAACACAAGCCAGTAGTAAGAACGTTAGCGCAGAGCTACGATCACTCGCACAACCCCGTGCCCTCCACCGTAGTCCACTCCCGTTGTGTAGTGAGTCTCCGCAGCAGCTTCATGCGAGCTTGCTCCGAGGCGGATACGTGCTCGAAGCGATCTCGTAAGGCTGCGCCCCACTCTTTCCACGTGCGTATCGTGGTCACTCCGAAGATTGATTCTGCCACTTGATTAGTCACTGTTGAGGTCCCGTCTGCCGCATGCGTCACACCTGTCGGCGTCCCCGTTTCCAAGGTTCGGCGCCACCATTCAAGCGCTGCACCGCGAAGAAGCGAAACCGCGTAATTAATACGCGTGGCGTCGTCGTTAACTCCTGCTGCAGTGAAGAAGACCTCGACTCCGAACAGCCACCCTTTTACTGTAACCGTCTTGTCCGTAGGATTAAACGGGGGCGGGTTGACGGGCTTGATCTTGATCGTCGTTACTGCAACTGGCGTTGCTGCCGCTCGCTGCCTATCTTCTTCTTCGAAGTCACGTGTGAGCGCGTCCAGAGGATTGCTCACCGCTTGACTGTTGCCCTCGCCTTCGTCCTCGGGCGACACCTGACGCGCTTCACCTCGCGTCTGGCGCAGCTCGGCGTTTTCCTCACGCAATGTTGTCACTTCCACCATTAACGACTTCATGCTTTCCTGCATTTCTGCCACTTGCGCCATCATCTTGTTAACCGCCTCCTGATCCATGTGCCTAGTGCTACGTCTGGTGGGCAGTCGGGTATCCGTGGCCTTCAGGCAAGTGAAAACACGAACTATCGGAGTCGGGCAGGATTGAATTAACAATCCCTGCGGCCAACCGTCGTGTAGTCACTAAACCAGCCACACCCTCTGCCACCAAACTACCCTCGGAAAAGCGGGGTGAACTAGGAAAGTAGCTCTGATACCAGGTGTTATGAGTTGTAAAAGAGAGTGCGCAGGTAAACGAATAACGAGACTGTGATTAACTGATCTCAGAATACAATGAAGGCACAGACTAATGTAGGGGCTAGCCTAGCTAGGAGGAAACCTCGGACGAGCGAGGTTGGGGTGCAGGTTTGGCGATGGGAAATGCCGAAGGCGACGCGAGGAGCCTCGGCAGCGTTGAAATCGGCCGAACGTGCAAAGTCCGAAAATCGGGCTGTACGCGTAGCAGTCAACCCCGATAAGGAATTCGGGAAAATTCCTTACATACATTCTAGGTGGTTGCTGAGTTTCGCTTCAAAACGTTGCTCCTGGACATGCTTCTAGGTTCGGAATGATTATGAAACCCGTTGATCGAATCAACCAATTTGGAAATCGACGGACATTATGCTACCTCGTGGCTCTTGTGCCAATGTGTGACAATTGCTGCTCAAACCTGACGACGTGGTAGGTGCGAACCACGTGTTGGAAGGCTCGGGATTCTGGACTTCACTCAAAAGTCCTGACCAGGCCCGTGTTGCACCGCCACCAGCAAATCTAGCTGAGTCAGCTTGTGGAGCAGCCAGCAAACCAACCAGCTCACGTCATGAAGGCGCGTCGCGATTGGTTCGCCGTGCAACCACAATTCCCATAGTGGCGTCTCGATTCGCTGCATTTATCGCGAAGCGCATCTTGGGAATGGATGCGGAGAACGCGATTCGAAATACAAACACCATCCCATTCAGCTCACTTGGAGAAGGAAGCTCAAGCACAGCTTGGCAGTTCAGAGAGCACGCCTATCACTCAATATATCCAGATATGTTTGGAGACAAGAAACAGAGAACCTGCCCACTCCCACTTGATGATACTCTCGCTTTGCGTCTCTCTTCCAAGCATTCCTCGACTTCTCCCATCGCTGTAGCTTCCGTGCCCCTCGATGTCGTTCTCCTCGAGCTCCTCCGCCTGCGCTGGCGCTGGCGCTCCAAGCACAGAACCAGAAACCCTAAGATCAAAAGCCAGGAAGGGGCGGGGCGGAATGCTACGGAATCCCTAGGTGGTTCCTTGGTCGTTGGGTCAAAGAGTCAGTCACCTGCGATGAGTCATCGCCCGATCATCCTTTTCCCGCGCTTTCGGCACTGAGCTGGAGCGGCTCGCACGGCTTACACGCATGTGAGGCTGAGGTTACCACACCCAAAGTCTCCGATTTAATTCCCTCGACGCGCTTCCACTACACAACGTTCTTTCCTCTTCTCTCCTCCCGCTGACTGGGCAGGATCAAAAGGGGCCTCCGGCGGGGGTACCAAGTAGGTTCGCGGCCTTTGATCATCAAAGCTTCACAAGGCGTCCCGCTGCAGTGTACGCACCGTCCGAGGGAGCAGGAGCGCCGCATCCCGCACATCTCCCTCTGCCCTCGCCCCGCCGCCCCTTTTGACACCGCCGTGCAACCCTCGTCTGTGGTTGCAACCACTGGTTGGTTGAGCAGCAAAACCTAACTGGTTACAGAGTCGGTAAGTCAGCCGCAAAGCGCGGCCGGCTCTAGGAGGGAAGGGAACCTCACGTCAAGCCTAAGGCTCCCTCAAAATCACTCATCTCTTGAAAATACCGAGTATCGGCCACCCAACTACTCCTAGAGAGCAGGAGCATGACGACGCAACGCACTATGCACAACGAACGACTCATTGAATCCGATACCCCGTGACGCAGGCAGCAGCGAAACAAGAGCCGCTAGGACGAGTCTTCTCACGCGTCGGCGGATAACTCGCGGCCACCGGGAGCCCAGCAACAGCAGCAGCACGCCATTCGTCAGTTTTTTGCCGACACCTGTTTTTCCCTCTGCGCGAGTTGGAAAACTCGAATATTCCGCTCAAACAGCGCGCCCTTCTGACTAGAATCGTTCGCTGCATCTGGAGGCGATATAGTCCGGTGAACGACCCCCGGGAGTAGGTTCAGCCGAGTCGCGGCCTTGGGAAGCGGAATACCACCGATCCCTTATCATCGATTCGTTAGCAGGAAGCCGTCGATCACTAAAAATCTGATCGTGTCAGTCATCGCACGTTTTCGTCAGCACACGGGCCAATTACAGTGCCAGTCCTGCGTGAATTACTAGACCGAGCCTGTCGAACGACAACATAATACATAGCTGTGTCAATAGGCGAATAGTTGCGTAGCACTCTTGTGCGCCTCATGCTACGAGTTCAAAAGGGACTGTGCAAGCAAGAAAAGATTTAGTCTTCTGAAATTTTCAGCGCAATCACAGACTGCAACGGGTTGATGCTGCCATGGCTGCCGTCGCACCTCTAGACCCCGCCGGCGCCGCCGGATTCACTACTGCTCGTGACGAGGGAAGCAACGATTTTAGGATGGACGCGATGAACGGCGAGATGCACGGCGTGACGCACGGCACCAAGCAGACTGTTTTGGAGTCGCATCGTTTTTACAATCTGGCCAGGGTCCTCCGCCCTATCCCTCTCCGCCGCCTCCCCATCTCGCTAACTCAAGACCTCACAGCAGCCGCATTATCACCAACAGCAGCACAGTAGCAGCAGCAGTAACGGCAGCGCCTCTAGACCTCGCCCTGTCCCTCAATATCCCCTCGCCGTCCGCCCTCCCTTCCCCCCTCCCGTCCGCCCTCTCCTCCTCCTCCTCCGCACCTCAGCTGCGCCTGCTCTGCATTCCTTCCCCACTTCCCCGCGCCTCTGCTTCCGCAGCGGCATCCGCGGAGGCAGCAGCGGTGGAGGTTGCTGCGGCAGCGGCGGCGGCGACGGCGGCGGAAGCGAGCTCGAGCCTCGCCTTATCCCTCTCACTGTCCGTCGACCGTCCGATTCGGATCGCGAGCGCGGCGGCAGACGCTACTACCAGTACCACAGCCAGTGGCGGCTCGGCGATCGCGCTGTCGCTTGGTCTAGGGGTTAATACGGGCGGGAAGCGAAGACGGGCCACGTCGGATTCGATCCGCGACGACGATGTTAGCCGGTGCGGTTGGCAACTCCCAGGTTTGACGAGGATGTCTATATCGGGGAATGATGACGTCATAACGATGACGGAGCGGAGCGGGGACAGTCCAGTGGGGACGGCGAATCCGCAGGTGGCTGTCAGAGGCAGCGGCGCGTGGACCAAGTGGAGTGTGACTCAGCATGACGTATTTCGGTGTGATGCTGGCGTGGCTGGCTATGGCGCTGACAGAGGCTGCGGCATGCTGATGCCGCAGCTGAGATTGACCGGCGAAGGAGTTGGGAATATGCGATACGAGATCGCAGAACGGCCACAAGTGACGCTGGCGCTATTGGGTGAAGGAGACTGGTCGAAGCGGAGACGGGTGGAGGAGATGACGTGTCATCACGGTGAAGAAGCGCGTTCAAGTTATGACTTTTGGAGAAACGAGCCACTTGCTGTCGAAGAACCTCTAAACGAGTCCCTTAGTGGGGAGCCTTGCGGGCCGCATCATTTCAAGTCGAATTCAGTGGTCAGCGAGAGCGGCTCGAGCCGCTCACCCGACTCGCCACGCGAGCCGCTTGTCCTGTTCGGAAAACCATTGAATGCAACGGACGAGACGGTTAAAACCAGGGTGCACATTCAACGCGGTTCGGCTTGAGATGTTGGGAAGGGGGTTTGGAGAAAAACAGTGATTGGCTCACGAGGGGCGACAAAAAAATGATTCCGCTAGAGCTTCGGGCATTTCGTAGGTGGCGGGAGGGGGTGAAATGGCGGGAGTGGGTGAAACCGAATGGCGGGAGGGATGAAACAGATTGGCGGGAGGGGGGGGAAACGAAATTGCGGGGGAGGGGGGAAACAAAATTGCGGGGGAGGGGGGAAACGAATTTCGACGGGGAGGGGGAAATGAAATTGCGGGGGCGTGGGGAAACGAAATTGCGGGGGAGGGGGGAAACGAATTTCGACTTGAAGGGGTTGAAAGCACACCTCGTAACCCACTCAGTCAAGGGATAACCTTTGATGCACATTCAGCTGAATGTGCACCCCGGTTTTAATCCAATGGGTGCCACAACAATTGACGCCGCTGCTGCCGCCGCTTCTCCGTCCCGGGTTTCTCCGTCCACTCCTGCTTCTGCCGGCTGCGTTCGATCTTGCGCGTCTGACGTGGATGCAGACGAGTGTGGCGCTGAGGTGACAGCTGACGTGTCAGCGAGGGAGAGCGAGCCGGCTGCGACAGCTGCGGCTGTTCTCGATTTCCCAGCAGCACCTGAATCAACGGCTGGAGCAACAGCAGCAGCAGCCGAGGAGAATCACGCCGTTGATCGCCGAACTAGCTCGAATCTTGGCGTCCGCGGCGCCCCCGGCAGCGGCGGGGGTGGCGCTGGCGGAGGCGCGGTGCGCGGGATCGGCAAGCTCGGGCGGCGCTTCCGCGGGATCCGTCAGCGCCTGTGGGGGCGGTGGGCGGCGGAGGTGCGCGACCCGTTTGCGCGGCGCCGGCTGTGGCTGGGGAGCTTTGACTCTGCGGAGGAGGCGGCGCGCGCGTACGGCGTCGCGACGCGGCGATTAAGAGGCCCCTGGGCTAAGACTAACTTCCCGCTGGACCCGCGCGACCCTGAGGATAAGGAGCAGCTGGCGCGCATGGCGGTGGCGGTGGCGCCGTGCGCCAAGGGGCGGTACCGCACGAAGCTGGCGGCGTGGCGGAAGCTGTGCGGGCCGGAGGAGGTCGCGGGGGTGGTGGTAACGGGCGGAGACGCGGAGGCCCCCGCGGAGGTGGGGGGAGACGCGGAGGGGGAGTTGGAGGGGGGAGCGGAAGAAGGGGGAGAGGCGGGGGAAGAAAAGGTGGAGGAGGTTGGTGTCGCGGTGGTGGCGGAAGGGGGAGAGGCGGAAGTGGAGGGGAGAGGGAGTGAGGGGGAGAACGAGAATGAGCAGCAGGAGGAGGAGGAGCAGGACGAGTTTGAGTTTGAGAATTCTCAAAAGCACCCTCAAGATGTTGTTGGTGGCGGTGATGGTGCCACAAGTGGCACCAGCAGTAGCAGCACCACCAGTACACCTGAAATGGCTGACGTGGATGTCTTGGAAGCAACGCCTGAGGTTGAGGCTCCTGCCAGCTCAGCTCCTGCCAGCTCAGATTTGGAGTCTGATGCTACACGGTCAGCTGATGGCAAGGGTTCGGCTGTGAATAACGGACACGCCATTGACGTGGATCCGGTTGCGATAAGCGCGGCTTTGGCCAATAAAGAGCCTCCATCTGTCCCTGCCCAAGAATCTGCAGACTCTCCTGTACCTGCAGGTGTACCTTCACCGGTTGCAGCCTCAGCATCCGCGGTTACGTCACCACCTCTAGCTGCTCGCGCCGTGACCTCACCATCAGCGCAGAAATCAGTGTCGCCACCACCAGTGGCAGTGCCAGCAGCAGCAGCACCACCACCACCAGCAGTAGCAGCAGCAGCAGCAGCAGCAGCAGCAGCAGCAGCAGCAGCAGTAGCAGCAGCAGCAGCTACTCTGGCGTCAGCTTCTGTCCCTGTTGACGAGTCCTCCCCAGCTCCAATCTCTGACCATGATCCTGCATTTGCTTCCGCCGCTCCCTCCACCCCTGCCGCTGCTCCAGGTTCCTTAGTTGCTGCACCGCCCGGCTTCACCCAGCTTCTGATTCCACTGCAGCAGCAGCAGCAGCAGCAGCAGCACCAGCAGCGCCAGCAGCGTCAACAGCCGCTGCCGCAGCAACAGCCGCCGCCACAGCAACAGCAGGAGCAGCAGCAGCAGCAACAACAACAACAACAACAACAACAACAACAACAACAACAACAACAACAACAACAACAACAACAACAACAACAACAACAACAACAACAACAACAACAACAACAACAACAACAACAACAACAACAACAACAACAACAACAACAACAACGCCAGCAGCAACAGCAGCAGCAGCAGCAACAGCAGCAGCAGCAGCAACAGCAGCAGCAGCAGCAGCAGCAGCAACAGCAGCAGCAGCAACAGCAACAGCAGCGACAGCACCAGCAATACACAGTCCCCCACAGCCTGCCCCACCACCACATGCCGTTCAGTCACCCTCCTCCACCATCAGCCTATCATTCTCCGACACCTGGCATCACATACCGACCTATGGTGGTGATGGTACCAATGGCCATTGCACCTCCCCACCCTCCACCTCCCCCTCCTCCTCCAATGGTTGTAGCGCCTGCTTTCCCACCTCCTCCTGCGATCCCTATGACTGGAACACCCCTACCTGCTCCCCATCCCCCTCCTCCTCCCGCTCCTCCTTCATTTCCCATGCCAGGATCAGGGTTGCCGCCCTACCCCCCCACCTCCTACGGCCAGCATAGCCAGCACCAGTATCAGCAATACCAGCACCACCAGCATTATCACCAGCAGCATCGGCATCAGCTGCAGCAGCAGCAGCAGCAGCATCAACAGTCGAAGCAGCAGCATCTGTTACATGTGTCTCCAGTTCAACTTGCTCCAGCAGCAGCAGCAGCAGCTGTAGCATCTTCAGCACCCTCAACTGCAACTCCATCTGGCCATGACACTGTTTTCCATCCAGTTTCTTCAATACAATCACATCTCAGCACATCAACCTCTGTGCAGTCGCAGCTCTTTAGAGGCGTGCGTCAGCGTCCTTCAGGCAAGTGGGCGGCGGAGGCTCGGGACCCGACCACGAAGCGCCGGCTGTGGCTCGGGAGCTTTGACACGGCTGAAGAGGCGGCCCGAGCTTATGATGCTGCTGCACGGAAGATGAGAGGTGATGGTGCCAGGTGCAATTTCCCTACGAAGCAATAAAATTATATACCTTGCCATTGTCCTGCTACGAGTAGGACTGTACACTTATTGTATGTACATACAATCTCATGAGCTCTTAGTTTTTCAAATTCAAGTGTCCACACAGTACTAGGGAAAGTTCAATTCTACGTTTCAGTTTATCTTACGTGGCTCAGAGCCGCAATACACAAAGGACCCGTCACCTCTGTCGATTTTGCATGAACGATGGATCGTGGAAATCGATCTTCCACCACACTGAATCCCCGCTTATTGCGTCCAAAACTTTCAGAACCTTGTGTAAACCCGCAAGACTTAATCCCCCGCCAAATATATTGCAGTTGCTTCCAGGCCGGTTGTTTCACTTAGGCGTTTACCGGTTTTGCAGAAGCCGCGTTAGCAAGCATATTTTTGAAGCCGAGACGACGTGGCACTGTACTCGCGCCCGCCAGCTGTCTTTAGTCAGAGAACGTGTATCCAGATCTAAAAGCACTCCTTACGTAGATTGCCTTAATACTGCCACTTATGGACAGGACAGGAGAGTAATATTCAACCAAGTAATTTTCATTGCAAGAAGCGATACATATTCCACACATTATCTAAATTACAGAGCAGGGTAGCCCACAAGAGCAAAGCCGGGACGTCAACAAAATACCTGCGTACAGAGAAATAAGCTGTTAGCCAATAATGTTCCAAAACAATTAATCCAATGTAAAACTGCTCCAGCATTGCTAACAATGTCAGCAGAATAAAGTAGCAACCCTGGGACAGAACACCAGGACCGCGTCGCGTCTGCCTACTATCTTGGCAAGGATTCGAAGAGTCAAATCCATTAATAAAGGATTGGACCTAGATACCTCTTGCCAGTAATTCTGGCCAGAACATAAAAAAAATGCAGACAGCAAGCACTAACCTGGAAAGTGGTTGAAGCTGGCTTCGAAGATCGTTTCGCACCTGTACGCAAAATTCAACGAAAACAAGGAAAACGAACACGGTTTAGACGAAGGAGAAACGGAAACGTTGTACATGTGACTCGCATGGTCTGTCCAAAAACGTAAATGCAGCGAAGCCGCTCGTTATGGCGATGGAATATGCGAAATTCGAGCCGGGAGAAAGCGCGGGCCCGAGGCTCGAACCCGTGAACGAACGAGCCGTCAAGGATCGAGCGATCTACAACCGGTCGAATCAGTTTATGACGTTTGTGCTGGATTCTGAGGCATGGTGAGAGCCACTCCAGAGGCACGGAGGAGAGCGACAGGCTAGTCGCTCAGCTCCCGTCAATAGTAGTTGCGGCCGAGGAAGCCAAGCAGACTAATAGGCAGGAACCAGAAGGTGGAAGACCCACCTCGAAAAAGTCGCGATGCTTGCAGCTGATCGAACAATGGCGATCTAATCCAGACGCTGGTCTCCTGAACCTGAACACTAGCTGCTTCGACTAGTAACTCTCAACCTATTTATGCTCCCTGCAATCTTTCAGCTGTCCTGGAGGGGTCTGCTCGGCCAAATATCGCTGCTGGGATGTGGGATGTGAAACCATGAAAACCCTGAGGGGGAAGGGTACACGAGAGGGTTTCCGCGCTGCTACTTTCCGCTCACTGTGGTTCGTGCTTTCCATCACCCAAAACGCCAAAAAGCACTTGTCCCCCCCTGATTGGAGAGGTGACACGAGTGTGTAATCTGAGAAACCGACTGAGGTAACCAGCGCTTACGATGCACAATTTGGGAGGCGTAGAAACACGCTCTAGATTCCAGGGGTCGTTTTGGGGCATGGATGGTGGTCTTCCACCCCATCTTCAAACTGCAAGACGTGATAAAAAGGAAGCCGCCTACATGAACACAAAATTCGCTGCACAAAGTCGAATTTATATGGGACATTCTTGTGTGCCCCATCCAAAGCTAAAAGTACCATTATGAGATCTGACACGTTGAAATCAATCAAAGAGCACTTTACATAATGGCATGCTGCTGATAATACATCATGTTTTGTTTTTATTCAATTCGTGTTGCGCTTTCACATTCCATACCTTCACCTCCTATTGATGCACCAGTTGCTGCTGCTGCGCCATCTGTGCCTGCCTTGCATGTGGATCAGCCTTCATGGGCGGCAGCTTGTCACAGTTCCCACCAATCACAAACGACCCCGTGGGCCGCTTCGCCACGTAGTGTGCAGTGGTGGAGTCAAATGCGTCTGTGGGCTCACACGGGTTCTGCTCCCTCGTCCACATCTTGCACGCCCCTGGGAAAGAAGAATTGGGAGATCGGGAATGGGTGTGTGGGTGTGTGGGTGAGTGGATAGGGGAGGGTGGGCAGTCCCGTTGAGGCGAGGTGTGCAGTGGTGGAGTCAAAAGCGTCTGTCGGCTCACATAGGTTCTGCTCCCTCGTCCACATCTTGCATGGTGCAAGCATGACTTCTGAGTCACCTCAAAAGTCACCTCAAAAGTCACCTCAAAAGTCACCTCAAAAGTCACCTCAAAAGTCACCTCCTTCCACCCTCATTCATCCCACTGCAGCACCCCACGCACCTCCACAGCACCCCACGCACCTCGTTTCGATCTCATGTTGTACATCCAGAAGGCACACCCGGGGGTTCTCCGACACAGCAGAGCACAAGAGCATACACTGCATTCAAACCACCAACAGCACCCTCACTCACCACCACGGCACCCCACGCACCTCGTTTCGATCGCATATTATACATCCAGAAGGCACACCCGGGGGTTCGCCGGCACAGCAGGTAGCACGTGTGCGGGCGGGCAGGGCCGATGCCCGTGTAGGTGAAGTTGAAATGGCCCTTGCCCTCGTGGTCAAACATGTAGCCACGCGTTACCGTGTTACACGTGAGCTTGGGACACTCGTTGGTTTGCACTGTGAGGGAGAGGGGAGAACAGTGGGGTAGAGAGACAACTCGATGAGTGTGAGTGAGGGCCGGAGGGAGAGGCACAATCCCAAATAGGTAAGGTTGAGATGGCCCTTGCCCTCGTGGTCAAACATGTAGCCACGAGTTACCGTGTTACACGTCAGCTTGGGACACTCGTTGGTTTGCACTGCGAGGGTGTGTGAGGGAGGAACGAGGAGGAGGAAAAGGGAAGGGGAAGAGAAGCCGGAAGGGGGAAGGGTAAGGGAAGAGGGGAAGGGGGAAGGGGAGCGGGGAAGGTGGGCGGGGAAGGGTAAGGGTACACAGCAGTGAGTGTGAGTGAGGGGCGGAGGGCGGGAGGGGCCGATGGCAAGTTGAAATGGCCCTTGCCCTCGTGGAAAAACATGTAACCACGCGTTACCGTGTTACATGTGAGCTTGGGACACTCGTTGGTTTGCACTGCGAGCAGGGGAGGGATAGGAAGAGGGGATAAAGTGAAGGGTGATTGGAACAGTGGAAGGAGGTGAGAAAACGGGAAGGGGAAAGAGAAAGGGGACGGGGACGGAGAAAGGGGAAGGGGAGGGAGAAAGGGGAAGGGGAAGGAGAAACGGGAAGGGGAAGGAGAAAGGGGAAGGGGAAGGAGAAAGGGGAGTGAGAAAGAGAAGAAGAAGAAGGAGGAAGGGGAATGGGAAGGAGAAAGGGAAAAGGGTGCAAACAAGCACTCACAGGCAATGTCTTCCTCTGCCAGCCTTTTCGCCTCCTCCTCCTCCTCCGGTGGCGGCGGGGGCGGTGGCGGCGCGTTCCTCTTCCTCCGCTTCTCCTCCAGAGTCTCCACTGTGCGACAGTACCCCCCCACCACATACTGGTTCCGCACCAGCCACCGCTGCGCAAAGTGTGCCGCTCGGCCTAGTAACACCCATCCGCGTGCTTCACAGGGGTTCTGGTCTGACGCCCACAGCTTGCAGTAGCCTGGGATGAAGTGGGACAAAGAGGTTGGAGGGAAATGTGAGGTAGGAAGTGGGGTGCTTGGAAGGGGCATAGCAGTACCCCCCCACCACATACTGGTTGCGCACCAGCCATCACTGCGCAACGTGCGCCGCTCGCCCCAGCAGCACCCAGCCCCTCGCCTCGCATGGGTTCTGATCCGATGCCCACAGCTTGCAGTAGCCTGGAGGAGCAGGGAAACAGCAGGGAGAGAAGGGGTGGGTTGGTGAAGGGCGCCGGCAGTACTCCTCCCTCCTCCCCCCACCACATATTGGTTCCGCACCAGCCACCGCTGCGCAAAGTGTGCCGCTCTTCCCAGGAGGACCCATCCCCTCGCTTCACACGGGTTCTGATCCGACGCCCACAGCTTGCAGTAGCCTGGGGAACAAGGGAGGGAACAGAAGGCAAAATATAGGTGGGTTGGTAGAGGGGCCTGGCAGTACCCCTTCTGGCAGTAACCCCCCCACCACATACTGGTTCCGCACCAGCCATCGCTGCGCAAAGTGTGCCGCCCGGCCTAGTAACACCCACCCCCTTGCTTCACACGTGTTTTGGTCCGACGCCCACAGCTTGCAGTAGCCTGCGGAACAAGAGAACGGCAAGGAGGAAATGGGGCTGTGAGTTGTTTGGCAGTACCCCCCCACCACGTACTGGTCCCGCACCAGGCACCGCTGCGCGAAGTGTGCTGCCCACAGGTTGCAGTAGCCTGGGGAATATGAGGAGGCATCAGGGAGGAAATGGGTGGGCATAGCAGTAACCCACCCACCACATACTGGTTCCGCACCAGCCACCGCTGCGCAAAGTGTGCCGCCCGGCCTAACAACACCCGCCCTCATGCCTCACAGGGGTCATGATCCGACGCCCACAGCTTGCAGTAGCCTGGGAGGTATGGAGGTGGGAAGGGGGAGTGGATGGGGAGGCAGTGGGGAGAAAGTGGGAGGAAGTGGGAGGAGGAGAGTGGGTATAGCACCTCACTCACCTTTCATGCTGCTCATGTCGTACATCCAGAAGGCACCGTCTGGCACATTTTGGCAGTCTTGCTCCTAAATTTAAAAGGCACATTCCCAAAGCACCATTTCATATTGTCGTAGGCCTCTCAAACTAGAAAATCGCACCTTTGGGGGTGCTCATGTCGTACATCCAGAAGGCACATTCGGGCACATTTCTACAGAGCTCCACGCAGCTATCAGGCTTCTCAGGGCCCTCCCCCGTGTCCTGCACCAACAGATGCCCCCCTGCCACGTACGCCTCCTCCTCCTGCTCCACCACCCACACCTGCTCCTCCGCCCCCCCTCCAGCTGCCCCTGCCCCTGCCCCTGACCCCCGCGCTGCTCCTCCTGCTCCTGCTCCTCCTCTTCCTGCCCCTGCTCCAGCTCCCATCCCTCCGCCAACCATCCCGCCTCCTGCTCCTGCCCCACCTCCTACCCCTCCTGCTCCTCCTCCTCCTGGCCCAAGACGGTGCCTCATCCTGCCTTTGCCAGCAGCAGCAGTGGCGGCACCGCTGGCATTTCCAGCGGCGGCAGCAGCAGCGGCGGCAGCGATGGCGGCAGCGGAGGAGGCGTTGACGAGGAAGGAGCGGACGACGCGAGGGGGCCTGTGGGGCTGGATGGGGTGGTCCCAGAACATGCCCTCTGTGGGGAACTCGCAGGAGAGATCCGATGGACACATGTGCCCCACTCCCCCGATTTCATCTGTGAAGAAGGAGTCAAAAGGAATGGACGCATGGAGAAGGAGAAGAAGCATGTGACTCATTTCAGAACCACCTGGACGGGACGGTCTTAGGCCAGCAACACAGGAGGCGTTGACGAGGTAGGAGCAGAGCATATATATATATATATATGTGTATATACATATATGACGAATCCCATCCTTTTTTTATTGAATACCTACGCGGTTTGTCTGGGCAAAAGATGTAGCATCTACAAGAGATACTTAGTTAAATATATATTAGTGAATGTCCGAATGTTTCGAGAACCAGCTGGATGGGGTGGTTCCAAACATGCCACATAAGCCCCAGCCACTCCCACTTGTGCCTTTTGAGCTGACACGACGGCACTACAGCGAGCAGCGCGGCCTTTTCACCACCACGGCCTAATACAAGGTACCAGCAACTTTTGAGCTGACACGACGGCACTACAGCGAGCAGCGCGGCCTTTTCACCACCACGGCCTAATACAAGGTACCAGCAACTCACAGAGCAGCAGCAGCGCGAGGAGGTAGAGGAGGAAGAGGCAGGTGACTCGGCGCAACGAGCAGCACGGCCTTTTCACCACGGCCTAATACAAGGTACCAGCAACTCACACAGTAGTATCACGACGAGGAAGAGGCAGGTGACTCGGCGCAACGAGCAGCACGCACGGAGCGCCACAAACCACACGGACGGCTGCACCTCTGGCCGCCTCGCTTCCCTCAACTACTCACGGCCCTGTCTTTCCTCCCCCACCCCCCCCACCCCCCCCAGCCATCCCCATCACGCCCTTTTCATTCCCCCCTTCCCCCTCCCCTCACCGCCACCATGCCGTTTTTATGTCCCTGTCGCCCCTCCCTCCCCCCACTTCCCCCCTCCCCCTCCCCCTCCCTCCACACCAGCAACTCACACAGTAGTATCACGACGAGGAGGTAGAGGAGGAAGAGGCAGGTGACTCGGCGCAGCGAGCAGCACGCGCGGAGCGCCACAAACCACACGGACGGCTGCACCTCTGGCCGCCTCGCTGCCCTCAGCTACTCACGGCCCCCTCCACCCCACGCACAGCCGCCAAACACACCCTTTTCATACCCCCCTTCCCCCATTCCCCCACAACCCCGCTCCCCGCATTCCACCCACACGCCACAGGAGAATCCACATTGAGCATTAGGCTTATAACGCGGATGCTGTATCCAGTTATGAATGCAGTTGAGTTTAAAAGGTGAGGTGAGGTTGGCAAAGCACCAGGAATAAGGGTGGCTTTACAAGGCGGGGTAGGTGGAACGGGAGTGGCCGACTGGAATCAGAGAAATGCAGTAAAGGCGATCAGCAAAAAGGAGAAGTTGGTTGTGCAAGAAGCAGGGGAATAAGGTGATTGATGTGCAAGCAGCAGGGGCAGGGGGAGTTGGTTGTGAAAGCACCAGGAGCAGGGGAGTGGGGGGGGGAGTGGGGGGGGGAGTGGGGGGTTGGGGTGGTGGCTCGTGAAAGCACCTTCTTCCACAATCTTCGCCTGTCGCGTGCATCCATCGCCGCATGCAACGGTCAGCTCGAGGCAGCAGCAAGACGGAAACGACAGTCAAGTCTTCAAATGGAGTCTCGAGACTGTAGAGGCGGAAAAGTAACTCGAGCGCCAAACACGCCGCTCCACTGCTACCGCAACGAAACTACAACTGGCCGTCAGCTGGCTCGATTTGCGGTCTGGCAGCTGCACGATGGATGTTTTCGGTCAGGTCAAGTGTAGGCTGTGATCGACAAGTAGGCTGAGTTATACATAGGTCAACAACGTCTGCATTACGATACAGTCAGTTTCGCTAGATTCTACATTGTGGTCGACGGGTGTACTCGGGTGGACCCTCGAATGCTGCGTTTCGCAGCGTCATTGCAACACGAAACGGATCAGCTCCACAAAAACTCCAGGACTAGCTAATCGGTTTATGCAAATATGAAGTAACTTAGGGATTCTAAGAGTACTAGCTCCGCAGAAGCCGACAAATCCCTGATCAGGTGATGATGCAAATCCTACAACTGGCACGACAGTGTCCGTCTTAGGCGTAAGAGTCCCTTTCGGGCGAGTCTCTAGTCAGCGCGCTAAGCCAAGAACACTGGAGCCAATAAACAGGCTCCTGAAAAATATCGCGGGGACTCCAGGATAACAAGACATTGCTTCAGCCTTCGGCGTCCTACCTAGCGTCTCCTGACCAGTCCTACTAAATCCAATGGATGGAATGAGTCGTGACTAGTAATTTGAGTTGTTTCGCTTTCTGGACGACAATAGCACACGAGCATCCCTTGGTTCCTCCGTGCTCGTCCCAAGATGGCAGGGGACGAGCGAAGAACCTGCTTTGAGTTACTCGTCGTTACGCCTGCTTTCGTGAGCCCTCTCTTCAAACATTGACTCACTCACGAGCTCGCTTACTCTTTCCGCCTCAATTCGTCATCCCTTTCGAACATCCCCAGGCGCTTCTCGCAGAAGCTCTGTGGTTGTGGTTGGTCGGATCTTCAACCTGGTGCGACTCTTCGCCGATTGGCTAGCTTCTTACACCCGAATCCATGGAATTTCACTCTGTGCGAAGATATCAACGGAAGCTAGCGAATTCAACCGCTCTCGCGAGTTATCGCCAGTGCAAGCTCCCCTTTCCCTCCCGCCATCAAGCCTGCACAAGGACATCCGTATCGTCAAACGAAACTAGTAATGTTTTTTTTCCAGGCAAACGTATGAGAAGATGTTATTTCCTGGTATATAATTCTCGGGTTCAGCGGCAGAGCTTTCAAACTAGTGTATGGCTCACACCGAGCTTACTACCCCCCTCTATATGCTGCCAGCCAGCGAGACCCTAAGGCGCACTCAGTCCAATTTTCGTTCCCAAGTCATTCCGCAAAAGCAGGTTATTGTCAGAACTACGTTGCGAGGTTCCCAATTTGGGAGTTATTTTCAATCTTCTTCTCTACACCGAGAAAGATTGAGTTGAGCTACCTGCTGCGAGCTCGAAAGGAATCTTTTTTTGACACACCTCAAGCTCGACCAGGAGCCTTCATCCTTCACCTCGAGCAACAGTTGTTGGATTCATCAATGGGTCGTCCGACTCGATTAGGTCACTGGTGCTGCTCTCCAGCCCCACTGCCGATAACCGCCATGTATTGCTAGGTCCTTCCCATTTACAGAACTGCTGGATCGGCGTTTAGAAGGAAACTAGTACCCGCTGATGTTCGCCGGATCGAAGGGTTCGCGATTCAGCCATGATGATTGTTTTTTTTCCTGTGACCACTTGAGACGTCTGAAAATTTGTGCATTTGCTCGTCGATCGCCTTACCAGACGTCTCGAGACGTGAGGATCTCGTTGCATACGAGGAACGCAGCGTGTGATCAGCGAGACACGTGAGACAAGTGAACACGGGAGACCTACAGAAGAAATTCCTGACTAATAGTAACAGTCGAAGAATTAAGCTGGTAGCTGCTGGTGCTGCTGCCTCGTGTAGTCTCTGATATAACGAGACGTGCAAGTTTCCAGAATAGGGTGTTACATGTTGGCAAGACCTGACCATCGGTTTTCGATTCCACTACCAGAAAGTCACAAGTTCGATCAAATCACGTTCTTCTAGAGGACTGTTCCGCTGCTAATAACGAGAGCTGCGATTCAGGGATCCTCGAGACAGTTGGTTATTCTCCTCTCGGAAAAGGCAGCTGTTGAAGAATGGACGGGTTTCGAAGATTCGCGGAGAAGCTGATCAACGACCCGCTGAATCGTCTGCAAGGCGGCTCAGGAGGAGGATTTTACGACCAAGTATGTCACGACCCCACCTGAGTGATATAGCAGTGTTGTAACCTACCCTCACTGAAAAGGCAGCTCTTATTATCAGAACCTACCCTCACTGAACCAATGCCTTCGCATCTGAGCAATTTTATCGAAATTGATCTCCCTATCCCAATACATGGCTTTATAAAAAAAAAAACCGACCCTCTGCGTCTCACTTGTTATTATTACAGGAGCCACCATCGCCTGCAGCAGCAGCCACCAGTCGCAGGCGGCCATGGGGACCCAACGGCCCTTCCAGCGGCCCTGCCAGTGCCAGCGGCAGCAGCAACGGCGGCAGCCGGAGCGGCAACAGGGGCGGGATTACCTTCGGAGGAGGAGCGCTGAATCTAGGCGGAATCGGTGGAATCGGGGGAATTGGAGGGCTGGGAATGGGGAGCGGTGGTGCGGATGGTGGTGCGGATGGGGGTAGCAGCAGCAGTGGTGGTGCTAATATCGGTGGTGGCGGTGGCGGCGGTGGCGGCGGTGGCGGCGGTGGCGGTGGTGGTAGTTTCAAGAGTTTTGGCACTGGAGGGTTCATGGGGGGACCTGGTGGGTTTTTAGGAACTGGAACAGGAGGAGGGGCCTCCTTTTTCAAAAACATCCAACGGTCCTTATCCATAGCCGCGCCTGATCGTGGCCGTCCGCCTCCCGCCCCCACCCCTCGCGTCCCCTCCTCCCATTCCGCCACGTACGAATCTCCCCCTATCCGCGGCCAGGCTCCCCCTTCCTATGCCGCTGCGTTTGGGGGGAGATCATCAGGAGGAGCAACGGAGCTTCATATAACGCTGGACGAGATTCGGTTTGAGAACCAGAGCAGCAGCAGCAGCACCGGTGGATTTGGGGCAATGGCCAGTGGTATTAGTGGTAGTGGCAGCGGTAGTGGTGGTAATGGTAGTGGTGGGGATGGTCGTTCTGGTAGCACTGCTATCGTCCGCACCCAGTCCGCCTCCTCCCCTGCCTCCCCAGGTTTCAGCGTCCTCTCTCTCTTCACCTCCCCGCCTCAAACTAACCACCACAACCAGCATCACAACAGCCATCACCAGCAGCAGCAGCAGCAGCAGCAGCAGCAGCAGTCGCGTCTGTCTCAGCCCTCCCCCCGTTCCACTGCTGCTGACGTCATCTCCTTCTTCACCTCCCCCTTCTCCCTGGGCCCCTCCGCCTCCCCCGCACCTCTCCCCCGCCAAAGCTCTGCAGGAGGCGCCTCCCCCCTCCGCAGGTCGTTACCAGGGGGGGTGGTATCTCCTGCGCTCTCTGGGGGTGGGGGAGGTGTGGGAGGGGGAGGGATCGGAGGGCTGTGGGCTATGGTGACGCGGACTAGCAGCAGTGGGATTGGAGGGGGAGGAGGGGGGCTGGATGACGTGGCCGAGTCCCTGCCCTTATCTGCCACGTCATCAATGAACACGTCACTGGGGATCCTAGCTGGCATGTCGTCGCTGCGACCCGTCCAGGCGGAGCAGGCAGAGCCCTTAGATGCGAGCTTTTTCGAGGAAGTGAGTGTATGGGGATGGGATGGGGAGTTGGGGGAGTTGTGGGGGAGGGTGGGGTTTCCATGGGCATGGCGTTGGTGTGTCTGCTGGGCTTGCGTGTGGCGACCCGTGCAGGCGGAGCAGGCAGAGCCCTTAGATGCGAGCTTTTTCGAGGAGGTGAGTGTGGGGGGAAGAAAGGGGGGGTGGGGGGTTGGTGGGGTTGGGTGGGCGTTGGTGTATTTTGTGCGCTTGCGACGTCTGAAAACACGCACTTTCTCACTCCCTCTCCTTGTTACCCGCGTTGCAGGACTTTGACCCTGTCCGCTGTGCGTTGGAGGAGCTTCCAGACGAACCGCTCTCGTTGCAACACCTTGGAACACAGGTGCTTAAATTAGGTTATTGTGCGTAACGTGATAACTTGGCCTGTCTTACTTTCTCCTCAAATAGGCCAACCAAGCACGCACGTGCTGATTCTTAGCCTCCTCAGATAATCAGCCGTTTCTATGATTCCTGCATGCTATTCTATGATTTCTCAAACATAGCCTTGTTGCTGACGTGGCATCTGGCTGGCAGTGTGGCAAGCGGCAGCTGCAGCTGGATGAGGTGTCGGAACAGCTGGCGACGCAAGTGATGAGTCACCACGAGGAAATGGGTGGGTGCTGGGGCAGGCAGGGTATTGCACTTTGCTGCTGGATCCTGCTGGGTGTTGCAGTGCAGGGCACTGCTGAATGCCGCTGGCCCGCTGGGGGTGTTGGTGGGTACAGCTATACGGTGCGGAGGATTATGCTGGGTGTTGCTGTGTTGGGAGATAAGTGCTGTTTCACCATCAACCCGTTCCTCTCTTGGCTGAGGAGGTGAAGCTTGAGCAAAACCCAACCCCCCAACCAACCCCGCCGCCAATCCCTTTCCTCTTCCCCTGCAGTGCAAGGAATGAACCTCTTCGCGGAGCTAGAGAGGGACCTGCAAGTGCTCTATGTCATCTGCAGGGTGAGTGGGTGGTGTGGTGGTTGGTTGGTTGCACCCTCTAGTGTGTATGTATTATGTATGGATGTATGGATGTATGGATGTATGGATGTATGGATGTATGGATGTATGGATGTATGGATGTATGGATGTATGGATGTATGGATGTATGGATGTATGCAGGTGCGTCAGATATTTTGGCTCGATTCCCACATGGCCAATTCCCCCACCTTCTCTTCTCTTCCCAGGTGCCTTGGACGTTCTACACACTCTCTTTTCTCCTAGACTTTCTTTCCCTTTTCCGTGCTCCCGCCCCCCTTTTCTCTCGCTTTCCTCCCTCATAATACGCGCCGTCTGCTGAACAGTGAACACCATGACATCCTGTTGAACCTCTTCCCCTCTCCACACCGTCCTTCTTTACCTCCCACCCCAACTCACCTTCCTCTTTCTCGCTCCTCAGAATACGCGGCGGCTGCTCAACAGTGCACGCAAGGACATCTCAAAGAACCTGGTGGTGTCCAACAACGTGCAGAAGAAGCGCATGGCCACGGTGGGTGTGCTTGTGTGTGTAGTGATTCTTGAGTCACCTCTCAAGAAGACGAGCAGTGCGCGCAAGGACATCTCAAAGAACCTGGTTGTGTCCAACAACGTGCAGAAGAAGCGCATGGCCACGGTGGGTGTGCTTGTGTGCGTAGTGATTCTTGAGTCACCTCTCAAGAAGACGAGCAGTGCGCGCAAGGACATCTCAAAGAACCTGGTTGTGTCCAACAACGTGCAGAAGCAGCGCATGGCCACTGTGAGTGTAGTGAGGGGAAGCGTCAGGGCACGATTGGGTGGGTGGGGTGGGATGGGGTGGGGTGGGAGGGGATCCGTATTCTTTTCCCCACACGCCCTGCTGCAATATCTCTGTCCCCCTACCCTTCCCCCCTTTTTTTTGTGACCCCCGAGCATGATTCTTCTCGTGCTGCCGCACATGCAGCAGGTAGTGCGCATGAAGGCACCTGAATCCTCCTCACCTCGCTATATCGCTCTGTACCCCTAGTTCGTGGTTACTCTCCCCCCCAGAGCATGATCCCAGTGTTGCAGCACATGCAGCAGATAGCACAGATGAAGGCGCGCCTGCAGCAGCTGGTGGAGGGGGGCAGCTGGCGTCCCTTGCTTGCTCTCAACGCCTATATGTCTGTCTATCTGTCTGTGTGTCTGTGTGTCTGTCTGCCTGTGCACGTGCCCTTGCTTGATCCCCAGAGCATGATTCCAGTGTTGCAGCACATGCAGCAGATAGCACAGATGAAGGCGCACCTGCAGCAGCTGGTGGAGGGCGGGCACTACCCCGCCGCCCTGCAGCTGTGCTCACGCTGCCTCGTGCTCGTGGAGCAGAGCAGATCGCTGTGGGCGATTGGAGACATGAGCGGCAGCCTCGAGGTGAAAAGGAGGGATGGGTAGGGGGATGGGTTGAGAGGGGGGGGAAGGAGATGGTATGGAAACAGAAGTTTGCCCCTTTGTGCTGTGGGCCATAGGGGACTGTGGGCCATAGGGGACTGTGGGCCATAGGGGACTGTGGGCCATAGGGGACTGTGGGCCATAGGGGACATGAGCAGCAGCCTTGTTTGCTGCTACTCCCGTCATGACTTTGGATCATTGGAACATGAGCAGCAGCCCCGAGGTGAGGAGGAGGAGGAGGAGGAGAGGAGGGAAGATGGGGGAAAAGTAGGGAGGGATGGGGATGGACGCCATTCTCTTCACTTCACTGAGCTGCCTTGCATTGTTCCTTGCTCTCCACTGCACCCCACTCCACCGCCGCTGAATCTCGCTCATCCCACTCCAACCCATTCCACACCACTGCACTCCTCCAGGGGTGGCTGGCGAGGGTGGTAGATGAGGTGGACGCCATTCTCTTCACTGTCTTGCCTTGCTTTGTGCCGTGCTTTCTCCTGCACCCCACTGCACCCCGTTCCACCCCACTGCACTCCAGGGCTGGCTGGCGAGGGTGGTGGATGAGGTGGACGCCATTCTCTTCACTGTCTTGCCTTGCTTTGTGCTGTGCTCTCTCCTGCACCCCACTGCACCCCGTTCCACCCCACTGCACTCCAGGGGTGGCTGGCGAGAGTGGTGGACGAGGTTGATGCCATTCTCTTCACAGTCTGCCGCCGCTACAACCCTACCGCCTATGCCACGGTCAGTACACGCGCAATTATCACCCGATGACACAGGTTGTTTGTTGCACCTCTTGCTATTCTCTTCACAGTCTGCCGCCGCTACAACCCCACCGCCTATGTCACGGTCAGTAGCCCCTACCGCCTACCTAACCATATTCTCTCAGGGTTGGTACCACCAGCAGGCTTCCATCTCTGGAGAGAGGATGCTTCCTCACCATCTTGCCTTCGATTGCTCATCATATTCTCAGGGATGTTACCACCGCCTTTCCTCCCGTCGCCCTCAGATGCTGTATCTTCTGACATTCTTCCAGTGAGCAGCGGTGTTTAGGAGCTAGATTTGGGCAAGTAGGAAAAACAGTGTGATAAAGAACCTGTTTTTTGAGACATAAAAAATAACAGATTCAGCCTAATCGCCCCCGGTGCTGGACGCTGTGATGAACGGGCTGCCTGCCTGCCCTGGCGGAGAAGGTGCGATGTTACCTCATGATACAGCAGCAGCTTACGGAAAGCCATCATGATCCCTCCCTCCCTCCCTCCCTCCCTCCCTCCCTCCCTCCCTCCCTCCCTCCCTCCTCCCTCCCTCCCTCCCTCCCTCCCTCCCTCCCTCCCTCCCTCCCTCCCTCCCTCCCTCCCTCCCTCCCTCCCTCCCTCCCTCCCTCCCTCCCTCCCTCCCTCCCTCCCTCCCTCCCTCCCTCCCTCCCTCCCTCCCTCCCTCCCTCCCTCCCTCCCTCCCTCCCTCCCTCCCTCCCTCCCTCCCTCCCTCCCTCCCTCCCTCCCTCCCTCCCTCCCTCCCTCCCTCCCTCCCTCCCTCCCTCCCTCCCTCCCTCCCTCCCTCCCTCCCTCCCTCCCTCCCTCCCTCCCTCCCTCCCTCCCTCCCTCCCTCCCTCCCTCCCTCCCTCCCTCCCTCCCTCCCTCCCTCCCTCCCTCCCTCCTCCCTCCCTCCTCCCTCCCTCCCTCCCTCCTCCCTCCCTCCCTCCCTCCCTCCCTCCCTCCCTCCCTCCCTCCCTCCCTCCTCCCTCCCTCCCTCCTCCCTCCCTCCCTCCCTCCCTCCCTCCCTCCCTCCCTCCCTCCCTCCCTCCCTCCCTCCCTCCCTCCCTCCCTCCCTCGCCTCCCTCCCTCCCTCCTCCCTCCCTCCCTCCCTCCCTCCCTCCCTCCCTCCCTCCCTCCTCCCTCCCTCCCTCCCTCCCTCCCTCCTCCCTCCCTCCCTCCCTCCCTCCCTCCCTCCCTCCCTCCCTCCCTCCCTCCCTCCCTCCCTCCCTCCCTCCCTCCCTCCCTCCTCCCTCCCTCCCCTCCCTCCCTCCCTCCCTCCCTCCCTCCTCCCTCCCTCCCTCCCTCCCTCCCTCCCTCCCTCCCTCCCTCCCTCCCTCCCTCCCTCCCTCCCTCCCTCCCTCCCTCCCTCCCTCCCTCCCTCCCTCCCTCCCTCCCTCCTCCCTCCCTCCCTCCCTCCCTCCCTCCCTCCCTCCCTCCCTCCCTCCCTCCTCCCTCCCTCCTCCCTCCCTCCCTCCCTCCCCTCCCTCCCTCCCTCCCTCCCTCCCTCCCTCCCTCCCTCCCTCCCTCCCTCCCTCCCTCCCTCCCTCCCTCCCTCCTCCCTCCCTCCCTCCCTCCCTCCCTCCTCCCTCCCTCCCTCCCTCCTCCCTCCCTCCCTCCCTCCCTCCCTCCCTCCCTCCCTCCCTCCCTCCTCCCTCCCTCCCTCCCTCCCTCCTCCCTCCCTCCCTCCTCCCTCCCTCCCTCCCTCCCTCCCTCCCTCCCTCCTCCCTCCCTCCCTCCCTCCCTCCCTCCCTCCCTCCCTCCCTCCCTCCCTCCCTCCCTCCCTCCCTCCCTCCCTCCCTCCTCCCTCCCTCCCTCCCTCCCTCCCTCCCCTCCCTCCCTCCCTCCCTCCCTCCCTCCCTCCCTCCCTCCCTCCCTCCCTCCCTCCCTCCCTCCCTCCCTCCCTCCCTCCCTCCCTCCCTCCCTCCCTCCCTCCCTCCCTCCCTCCCTCCCTCCCTCCCTCCCTCCCTCCCTCCCTCCCTCCTCCCTCCCTCCCTCCCTCCCTCCCTCCCTCCCTCCCTCCCTCCCTCCCTCCCTCCCTCCCTCCCTCCCTCCCTCCCTCCTCCCTCCCTCCCTCCCTCCCTCCCTCCCTCCCTCCCTCCCTCCCTCCCTCCCTCCCTCCCTCCCTCCCTCCCTCCCTCCCTCCCTCCCTCCCTCCCTCCCTCCCTCCCTCCCTCCCTCCTCCCTCCCTCCCTCCCTCCCTCCCTCCCTCCCTCCCTCCCTCCTCCCTCCCTCCCTCCCTCCCTCCCTCCCTCCCCTCCCTCCCTCCCTCCCTCCCTCCCTCCCTCCCTCCCTCCCTCCCTCCCTCCCTCCCTCCCTCCCTCCCTCCCTCCCTCCCTCCCTCCCTCCCTCCCTCCTCCCTCCCTCCCTCCCTCCCTCCCTCCCTCCCTCCCTCCCTCCCTCCCTCCTCCCTCCCTCCCTCCCTCCCTCCCTCCTCCCTCCCTCCCTCCCTCCTCCCTCCTCCCTCCCTCCCTCCCTCCATCCCTCCCTCCCTCCCTCCTCCTCCCCTCCCTCCCTCCCTCCCTCCCTCCCTCCCTCCCTCCCTCCTCCCTCCTCCCTCCCTCCCTCCCTCCCTCCCCTCCCTCCCTCCCTCCCTCCTCCCTCCCTCCCTCCCTCCCTCCCTCCCTCCCTCCCTCCCTCCTCCCTCCCTCCCTCCCTCCCTCCCTCCCTCCCTCCCTCCCTCCCTCCCTCCTCCCTCCCATCCCTCCTCCTCCCTCCTCCCCTCCCTCCCTCCCTCCTCCCTCCCTCCCTCCCTCCCTCCCTCCCTCCCTCCCTCCCTCCCTCCCTCCCTCCCTCCCTCCCTCCCTCCCTCCCTCCCTCCCCTCCCTCCTCCCTCCTCCCTCCCTCCCTCCCTCCCTCCCTCCCTCCCTCCCTCCCTCCCTCCCTCCCTCCCTCCCTCCCTCCCTCCCTCCCTCCCTCCCTCCCTCCCTCCCTCCCTCCCTCCCTCCCTCCCTCCCTCCCTCCCTCCCTCCCTCCCTCCCTCCCTCCCTCCCTCCCTCCCTCCCTCCCTCCCTCCCTCCCTCCCTCCCTCCCTCCCTCCCTCCCTCCCTCCCTCCCTCCCTCCCTCCCTCCCTCCCTCCCTCCCTCCCTCCCTCCCTCCCTCCCTCCCTCCCTCCCCTCCCTCCCTCCTCCCTCCCTCCCTCCCTCCCTCCCTCCCTCCCTCCTCCCTCCCTCCCTCCCTCCCTCCCTCCCTCCCTCCCTCCCTCCCTCCCTCCCTCCCTCCTCCCTCCCTCCCTCCCTCCCTCCCTCCCTCCCTCCCTCCCTCCCTCCCTCCCCCCTCCCTCCCTCCCTCCCTCCCTCCCTCCCTCCTCCCTCCCTCCCTCCCTCCCTCCCTCCCTCCCTCCCTCCCTCCCTCCCTCCCTCCCTCCCTCCCTCCCTCCCTCCCTCCCTCCCTCCCTCCCTCCCTCCTCCCTCCCTCCCTCCCTCCCCTCCTCCCTCCCTCCCTCCCTCCTCCCTCCCTCCTCCTCCCTCCCTCCCTCCCTCCCTCCCTCCCTCCCTCCCTCCCTCCCTCCCTCCCTCCCTCCCTCCCTCCTCCCTCCCTCCCTCCCTCCCTCCCTCCCTCCTCCCTCCCTCCCTCCCTCCTCCCTCCCTCCCTCCCTCCCTCCCTCCTCCCTCCCTCGCCCTCCCTCCTCCCTCCCTCCCTCCCTCCCTCCCTCCCTCCCTCCCTCCCTCCCTCCCTCCCTCCTCCCTCCCTCCCTCCCTCCCTCCCTCCCTCCTCCCTCCCTCCCTCCCTCCCTCCCTCCCTCCCTCCTCCCTCCCTCCCTCCCTCCCTCCCTCCCTCCCTCCCTCCCTCCCCTCCCTCCCTCCTCCCTCCCTCCCTCCCTCCCTCCTCCCTCCCTCCCTCCCTCCCTCCCTCCCTCCCTCCTCCCTCCCTCCCTCCCTCCCTCCCTCCCTCCCTCCCTCCCTCCCCTCCCTCCCTCCCTCCCTCCCTCCCTCCCTCCCTCCCTCCCTCCCTCCCTCCCTCCCTCCCTCCCTCCCTCCCTCCCTCCCTCCCTCCCTCCCTCCCTCCCTCCCTCCTCCCTCCCTCCCTCCCTCCTCCCTCCCTCCCTCCCTCCCTCCCTCCCTCCCTCCCTCCCTCCCTCCCTCCCTCCCTCCCTCCCTCCCTCCCTCCCTCCCTCCCTCCCTCCTCCCTCCCTCCCTCCCTCCCTCCCTCCCTCCTCCCTCCCTCCCTCCCTCCCTCCCTCCCTCCCTCCCTCCTCCCTCCCTCCCTTCCCTCCCTCCCTCCCTCCTCCCTCCCTCCCTCCCTCCCTCCTCCCTCCTCCTCCCTCCCTCCCTCCCTCCCTCCCTCCCATCCTCCCTCCCTCCCTCCCTCCTCCCTCCCTCCCTCCCTCCCATCCCTCCCTCCCTCCCTCCCTCCCTCCCTCCCTCCCTCCCTCCCTCCCTCCCTCCCTCCCTCCCTCCCTCCCTCCCTCCCTCCCTCCCTCCCCCCTCCTCCCTCCCTCCCTCCTCCCTCCCTCCTCCCTCCCTCCTCCCTCCCTCCCTCCCTCCTCCCTCCCTCCCTCCCTCCCTCCCTCCCTCCCTCCCTCCCTCCCTCCCTCCCCTCCCTCCCTCCCTCCCTCCCTCCCTCCCTCCCTCCCTCCCTCCCTCCCTCCCTCCCTCCCTCCCTCCCTCCCTCCCTCCTCCCTCCCTCCCTCCCTCCCTCCCTCCCTCCCTCCCTCCCTCCCTCCTCCCTCCCTCCTCCCCCCTCCCTCCCCCCTCCCTCCCTCCCTCCCTCCCTCCCTCCCTCCCTCCCTCCCTCCTCCCCCCTCCCTCCCTCCCTCCCTCCCTCCTCCCTCCCTCCCTCCCTCCCGCCTCCCTCCCTCCCTCCCTCCCTTCCCTCCCTCCCTCCCCTCCCTCCCTCCCTCCCTCCCTCCCTCCCTCCCTCCCTCCCTCCCTCCTCCTCCCTCCCTCCCTCCCTGCCGCTCCGCTCCTCCCTCCTCCCTCCCTCCCCTGGTCCCTCCCTCCCTCCCTCCCTCCCTCCCTCCCTCCCTCCCCTCCCTCCCTCCCTCCCTCCCTCCCTCCCTCCCTCCCTCCCTCCCTCCCTCCCTCCCTCCCTCCCTCCCTCCCTCCCTCCCTCCCCTCCCTCCCTCCCTCCCTCCCTCCTCCCTTCCCTCCCTCCCTCCCTCCCTCCCTCCCTCCCTCCCTCCCTCCCTCCCTCCCTCCCTCCCTCCCTCCCTCCCTCCCTCCCTCCCTCCCTCCCTCCCTCCCTCCCTCCCTCCCTCCCCCCATACTTCTTCCCCAGGTGCTGGACTCATATGCGGTGATGAACGGGCTGCCTGCGCTGGCAGAGAAAGTCCGCAACTCTTTCTCCCAGGCAGTGGTGTCGGAGACCCGCCCGCTGCTCTTCATTCGCTTCCCCCCCCCCAATACTGCTCCCCAGGTGCTGGACGCATACGCAGTGATGAACGGGCTGCCTGCCCTGGCGGAGAAGGTGCGGTGTGGTGCAGGGCCTTACTGGATTTCATCATTCCTCCCTCCCCCCATACTTCTTCCCCAGGTGCTGGACTCGTACGCAGTGATGAACGGGCTGCCCGCCCTGGCGGAGAAGGTGCTGTGTGGTGCAGGGGCTTACTGGATTTCATCATTCCTCCCTCCCCCCATACTTCTTCTCAGGTGCTCGACTCATATGCAGTGATGAACGGGCTGCCAGCCCTGGCGGAGAAAGTCCACAACTTCTTCTCCCAGGCCGTGGTGTCCGAGACGTATGATATCCTGCTGCAGTTCGTGGAACAGGTGGGTGTGTGGGAGGGTGGGAGGGTGGGAGGGTGGGAGTGGGGCTGCTGAAGGATCAATTGTAGCAGCAGCGGTTGGCACACACACCACCTTCTTCTCCCAGGCAGTGGTGTCTGAGACCTACGACATCCTGCTGCAGTTCGTGGAGCAGGTGGGGGTGTGAGAGAGCTGGGTGGTGGCAGTGTGTGTGAGTGAGTAAGAGTGTGCGAGTAGCAATATGTATGTGGGAGTGTGTGAGTGTGTGTGCGAGTGGTCTCTGAGACTTACGACATCGGCTTGTCACCCATCCATTGCGTCATTGCTTGCTTACATCACATGTCATCGTCGTGCGTGCGTGCCGCGTGGTTGTGTGCTTGTGCAGGGAAGCACAGAAGACGACGCCAGAAGAAGCAGGTATGCCGCCGCCTGTCGTCTCGATTACCACCCTCTTCTGAATCCAGCCTCTTTTGATTTCATGTCACACAAGGCATATTCCCCTTATTACACAAGTAAGGAGTTCAACTTCATTCCATCATCCCTCCATCTCTTATCCTTGCTTCTCTCCCCTTCAGACCAATTCTTCTTCCTCTGCCTCATCCCTGGCTCTCGTATCCCTGCCTCCCTGCCCCTCTCCCTGTCAAAACAGAATGGCATACAGTGAATTATGTGGGCAGCTATCAGACCGTTTCTTCTTCCTCTGCCTCATCCGCACCATGGAGCTCGTCTTTGAGCTCATGTGCTCGCACCACGTCATGATGACCGCCCACCACCCGTTGCTCAAAACGGTAAGCATCAGCCAAGCCACTCAGTGCATGCATTTGTGTATTGTTATGGTGTCAAGTCAAGGATTCTTCTTCCTCTGCCTCATCCGAACCATGGAGCTTGTGTTTGAGCTCATGTGCTCGCACCACGTCATGATGACCGCTCACCACCCGATGCTCAAGACGGTAGGCAGCATGTGCTCTGCACTTGTTTTCCGGGTCCAGTCCAGTGTTTAGGCACCTCAGAAATGAACATGCAATCTCCATACATGCGCTCTCTCTACCTTCTCTCTCCGCTAATTCCCCGGGTCTAGCACATGCGCCTTTTAAATACACATGCATTCTTCTTCCTGCAGGCTCTTTCCCTACCATTTCTTTCCTCGCCCTCTCAAATATCCGCTGCTCCGCTCCTCCTCTTGCTGGTTCGCTGCGCACCAAGCGCCCCCAAAGGCACTGCTGCAGTCTGTTGTTGAGGCGCTTTGAAATATGATTTTCCGATTTCCGTTCCTCTCCTCGTACTGTTTCTTTTGCTCTCTGCTCGTTCCACAGGTATCCGCTCCTCCTCCTCCTGCCGCTCCGCCCGCTGGCCCGCCCTCTGCTCCACCCTCCACTGGTTCGAACGCATCTCAAGGCACTGCATCAGCGGTCCCCATCGCCCAACCCACCAATCCATCCATGCCTCCTCCCTCCGCCACTCAGCCATCGAAGCTTGAGCCAGCGAGTGCAAGCAGCAGCACGACTGGCATTAACAATGCAGCAGAAAGGGGTGGTGGTGAGAGCAGGGCGACTGGGGAGAGCAGGGCGAGTGAGCAGAGCAGTGCGGCTCCTGATCGGTTTGAAGACTCGCTGTGCTTACCAGCAGCTCAAGCTGTTGTGTTTGACGTCCCGGCCGAGGCACAGTCCAGCTCAGCACACCCACAGTCCAGCTCAGCACACGCACAGTCCAGCTCAGCACACGCACAGTCCAGCTCAGCACAAGCACATCCCAGAAACGTTGTCTCAGGGACACAGGCTGCTGCTACTGCTGCTACTGCCGCCGCTGCTGCTGCTGTGCCTGGCGCCAGTGGCAGCAATGGTTGTTCTGGTGGCAGCAACAGCATTGCATCCAACAGTGCTGCAGCACCCACCGGCAGTGGTGGTGGTTTGAGTGATAGAGTGGTGGGTGCTAGTGGCAGTGGCGGTGGGCATTGGGACTTTCTGCAAGACGTGCAAGACGATGTGGACAGGATGGAAGGGCGGGGGGGAGGGGGAAGGACGGAACCGGGACTTGCGGGAAGGGAGAGAGCAACTGATCGAAAAGGCGTGCAAGACGTGCAAGACGTGCAAGATGATGTGGACAGGATGGAAGCTGCGACGGGAGAGAGAGGGAGGGGTGGAAAAAGAGGTGCAAGGGAACGAGGAGGAGGAGAAGGTGGAAGCAAGCTGGAGCAGGGAGAGCTGGGAGAGAGGGTGACGCCTTTAGCAGGGTCGCTAAAGGGGAAAGAACCTGCTGCTGATGGTTCTGCTGCTGCTGGCGCTGCTGCTGCTGGTGGTGGTTCTTCTGCTGCTGCGCCTGCTATGGTTCCTCCTCCTGTCGCTCCTGTCAGTCTAGCTGCCCCCACCGCAGGGCCGTCAGCAGCCAATGAGCTGATGCCAGCTGTCCCGTCGCCGGCCAGTGAGCTGTCGCCAGCTGTGCGGGAGGCGGCAGCAGGAGCAGTGAGGGGCGCGTTAGAGAAGGGCAGGAAGGCTGTGTGGGAGCTAGCTGCTCGAAGGGTGGCGGCTCTGCTGTCTGCTCCTCCTGTGTGCTCCGGCACATCAGAGCAGTTCCTGCAGGTGCGTGCCTCAGAGCAGTTTCTTTCTCTGTATCTATCTGTGCGTCTTGTTCTGAGAATCTTGTTCTTTCCCTACCCTACCCTTCCCACGCCGCCTAGAGTGTTTTTGAGAATACTCAAAAACACTCTACAGTTCCTGCAGGTGCGTGCCTCTCTCTTTCTCTCTTTCTTTCTCTGTATCTCTCTGTCTGTCTTGTTCTGGGAATCTTGTTCTTTCCCTACCCTTCCCACGCCACCTCGCCCCCACGTCCCTACAGGTCCTGTGCCTGGTGGAAGACTTTGTGCTGGCAGGGGAGGCGTTCACTCAAGCAGAGGCGGGGAGTCTGAGGGCCAAGATGCACCCACTCTCACCTGCATGTCATCTCGTGCATGGAATTTGTGTCTATTCTTTCCTCATACTGCCCCACACATCCCCACCAGATCCTGTGCCTGGTTGAAGACTTTGTGCTGGCAGGGGAGGCGTTTACTCAAGCAGAGGTGGGGAGCCTGAGGGCCAAGATGGGTCGGCACCCACCAACGTTTCAGCTCATTCGATGCCTCCCTGCCCTTTCACTGCCCCATCTCGTCACCACCAGATCCTGTGCTTGGTTGAAGACTTTGTGCTGGCAGGGGAGGCATTCACACAAGCGGAGGCGGGGAGTCTGAGGGCCAAGATGGGTCGGCAGTGCGACCAGTTCTTCAGGAACTACCACCGACAGGCACTGGAGGTGAGTGAAGGAGTGAGTGAGTGAGAGGGTGAGTATGTGCGTGAGTGAGTGAGTGCGTCTTGATTAGCTTTTACATGTGTGTTTGGGAGTCTGAGGGCCAAGATGGGTCGGCACTGCGACCAGTTCTTCCGGAACTACCACCGCCAGGCACTGGAGGTGAGGGATTGAGTGAGTGAGTGAGAGGGTGAGTGAGTGAGTGCGTGTAGATTAGCGCTGAGTTGGCATGTGTATCGGTGAGTCTGAGAGCTAAGATGCGTCAGCAGTGCAACCAGTTCTTTCAGAACTACCATCATCGACAGGCACTGGAGGTGAGTGAGTGAGAAAGTGTGAGTGAGAGCATGTGTGTACCAACTCATCTCATCTCATCTCATCTCATCTCATCTCCATTTTTACTCTCTCGCTTCTCCCCCTCGCTTGCAGGTGCTGCGGATGATGGTGGAGAGGGAAACCTGGCAGCCTCTTCCCCCGTCCTCCCAGCAAGCCCCCATGGTGCACCATCTCATCTCCTCCCGCTCCACCCTTCCGCCCTCTCCCCCCTCGGTGCCCTCTCTACTCTCTTCGCTCTGTCTCCTCACCTGCAGGTGCTGCGGATGATGGTGGAGAGGGAAACCTGGCAGCCGCTGCCGCCGTCCTTCCAGCAAGCCCCCGAGGTGCAAAATCTCATCTCCTCCCGCTCCACGCTCGCTCGCACACCCGCCAAAATGCTCACGTCTTCCTCTCCTAGCGACTCTGCTCTTGCCGGGGGAAGAGGAGGGGGAGGAACGGGAGGAGCGGGAGGGGTGGGAGGAGCAGGAACGAGTGTGGGAGGTGTGGGAAGGGAAGGAGGCGCAGAGGCAGGGCGTGTATGGGATTTTAGTCACTGGATGCAACTAGACCAGCCTTTCAATGTAGAGAATGTGAGGGGCGGGAAGGAGCAGCTTGATGCAGCAAGCGGGAGAGGGAGAGGTGCGGGCGGAGGGGGAGGAAGGGGAGGAAGAGGGGTTAACAGCGGTGGAGTGGGGTGGGATGGGCCTCAGGGGATGCTGAGGGAGTTGGTGGTGGTGTCTCAGGGTGGGATGGGGGGAGTGGCGAGGGAGAGAGCACGGGAGAGAGACAGAGAGATGTTGCGAGATAGATTCATGGATATGGAGAGGGAGAGAGAGAGGGAGAGGGAGAGGGAGAGGGAGCAAGAGAGAGGAAGGATGAGTCCACATTCAGCGTATCAGAGATCAGGGGGAGGAGCATATGGAGCAGGGGTTTCTTCTGGGGGAGGTGGATATGGGGTAGGCAGATTTGGGAGTGCCGCAGAAGGGGTGAACGAGCTTCGCCAGTACAGCTCTGACCGAGTAGCTCCAAGAAATGCCGCCCCAGCTCCCACTGGTGCTGCTTCTGCTGCTGCTGCTGGTGATGCTGGTAGCGGTGGTAGCTGGGGCAGTGGGTACGATTTGAAGAGTAATACCTTCAGCTACAGCAGGAGTGGTGGTGCTGTTGCTGCTGCTAGCCCTACCGGTATTGCTGCTGTTAGCCCTTCCGGTGTTGCTGCTGTTCGTAGCGACCCTACTGCCGCTGCTGTGGGCCGTGCCAGTAGCATCATGAAAGGGGTTGGGAGCGGGTTGATGAGGATGCGAGAGGAAGGGGAAGGAGAGGAGCAGGAAGAGGAGGAGGAGGAAGAGGAGGAGGAGGAGGAGGAGGAGGAGAGTGAGGAGCTATTAGCTGATTACATTGATGAGGATGGCGAGGGGGAGGAGGAGGGAGGGAGAGAGCGAGAGAGAGGGAGCAGAGGCGGGGGCAGAGGAGGAGAGAGAGGCAGAGAGGGAGGCAGAGACGGGGTGCCTAGCAGCAAGAGCAGCAGCAGCGTGCAGGGAAGCAGGAGCGGGGGACGAGGAGGAGGAAGAGGAGGAAGAGGGGCAGGGGGAGAAAAGGGGGGAGGAGTGTCAGGACGCGGAGGAGGAATAGTAAAGGGAGGAGGAGGAGGGAGGGGAGGGCCCGGAGGGGTGCAGAGGAGTGGGACAACAAGGATATACTCCCCAGCACCACCATCGTCGTTATTGCCAGACTCTTTATTAGGCCGCTCACAGAGCGATGGAAGGCTGGGGAGCCAGGGTAGGAGGCGGGCTGGCAGTGGGAAGGAGGGAGGCGGAGGGGTGGGCGCCGGTGGGAGCAAAGGAGGGAAGGGTGTGAAGGGGGTGAAGGCAGGGAAGGGGGAGGAGCAGGACTTTGCTGCCACTGCATCTGCTCTTGGTGCTGTCAGGTGGGCTTGATTTTTCTTTCCATGCTATGCTATGCTGCCTGTTTTTTAGGCGCCTCCAAAAAGGCAGGGAAGGGAGAGGAGCAGCTGCCACTGCGTCTGCCCTTGGTGCTGTCAGGTGGGCTTCTTCATGCCATGCTATGCCGCTCCATGCCGTGCCGTGCCGTGTCCTGCTATCCCATGCCATGCCATGCCATGCCCGTATCATGCCATGCGACGCCGTGTCATGTCATGCTATGCCGTGCCATGCCTTGCTGTGCCATGGCCACCCATATCCACGCAAGTCCCTTCTTTCCCCACCCCACTCCTCCCTGCTGCCGCCCTCCCCCTGCCGCCCTCCTACCGCACGGCAGGTTGATGGACTATCAGGTCACGTTGCTGTTCTCTCTGCCACCTCCCCATGCTCCCCCTGTCCGCCCTCTTCCTGACGCCCCTACCGCCCTCCCCCTACCGCCCTCCTTCTCCCGCACGGCAGGTTGATGGACTATCAGGTCACTCTGCTGTTGTCTGTGCCAACTCCCCATGCCCCCTTGTCCACCTGCCCCATACCGCCCTCCCCCTGTCCGCCCTTCCTCTGTCCGCTCTCCACCCTGGCAGGTTAATGGACTATCAGGTCACTCTGCTGTTCTCTCTGGGACCCATCTCAGCTGACGTCATCATGGTGAGCCATGAGCAATGAGCTGTGCTGAGCTGTGCTGTGCTGTGCTGTGCTGCGCTGCGCTGCGCTGCGCTGCGCTGCGTTGGGCTGCGCTGCGCTGCGTTGGGCTGTGCTGGGCTGGGCTGTGCTGGGCTGTGCTGTGCTGTGCTGTGCTGTGCTGTGCTGTGCTGTGCTGTGCTGTGCTGTGCTGTGCTGTGCTGCGCTGCGCTGCGCTGCGCTGCGTTGCGCTGTGCTGTGCTGTGCTGTGCTGTGCTGTGCTGTGCTGTGCTGTGCTGTGCTGTGCTGTGCTGTGCTGTGCTGTGCTGTGCTGTGCTGTGCTGTGCTGTGCTGCGTTGTGCTGCGTTGTGCTGTGCAGCATGGTCCGCAATCCCGTTTCGCGATGAGCGATTGCACTGTTTCGTGCCTTCCCCCCCCAACGCCCCCCTCCTCCCCCTCCTCCCCCTCCTCGGTGAAATAGACTTGTCTGTGAAGATGCGGACTACCTGCACCTGGACAGAAAGACCCTATGAAGCTTTACTGTTCCCTGGGATGGGGTTTGGGCCCTTCTTGCGCAGTCTAGGTGGGAGGCGAAGACGGTGTCCTTCTGGGGACACTCGAGCCGAAGATGAGAGACCACCCTAGAAGGGCTAGGATTCTAACCTTATGCCTAGAAGAAGGCTAGGGGACAGTCCCAGGTAGACAGTTTCTATGGGGCGTAGGCCTCCCAAAGGGTAACGGAGGCGTGCAAAGGTTTCCTCAGGCTGGACGGAAATCAGCCTTCGAGTGCAAAGGCAGAAGGGAGCTTGACTGCGAGACTCACCCGTCGAGCAGGGACGAAAGTCGGCCTTAGTGATCCGACGGTTCCGAGTGGAAGGGCCGTCGCTCAACGGATAAAAGTTACTCTAGGGATAACAGGCTGATCTTCCCCAAGAGTTCACATCGACGGGAAGGTTTGGCACCTCGATGTCGGCTCTTCGCCACCTGGCGCGGTAGTACGTGCCAAGGGTTGGGCTGTTCGCCCATTAAAGCGGTACGTGAGCTGGGTTCAGAACGTCGTGAGACAGTTTGGTCCATATCCGGTGCAGGCGTTAGAGCATTGAGAGGACCTCTCCCTAGTACGAGAGGACCGGGAGGGACGCACCGCTGGTGTACCAGTTATCGTGCCAACGGTATACGCTGGGTAGCCAAGTGCGGAGTGGATAACTGCTGAAAGCATCTAAGTAGGAAGCCCACCTCAAGATGAGTGCTCTCCCCAAATCCACACAGTCAATATGCATGCAGTATCAGACCTGCTAGCAAAAAAAATGCACGTGGATTTTGAGTGAAAAAACACCAACAGAGGTCACGGCAAGACTAGCCGTTTTTGTACGATAGGTCCCCAAAGTCGCCCTTTTATTCGAAGGTCTCCGAGCTTGTTTTTAGGCCATCGCTCGTCCTCTCACCCTCATCATCGCCCTCAGTCCGTGTGTCAGCTATTTGATTTGACCACTGCTCTTCCCTTCTTTCGTGCCCCTTTCGTGCCCCCTCTTCCCGTCCCCCGTCTGCCTGACTCATTCTGTGTGACAGCTCTTCGACCTCTATCTCAGAACGCTGTTCCTCATTCCTTTCCTTCCTTCTCCCGCGCCCCCTCTCCCTTTTCGTCTCCCTCAGTCCGTGTGGCGACTATTCGACCTCTATCTCATCACAGTATTCCGCATCTTCGGCCATCGGGAGGCCTTCACTTACTTCTCTCTTTCTTCCACCCCTTCGTACCCACCCCCTTACGCCTCTCTTCCCCTCCTCAGTCCGTGTGGCAGCTGTTCGACCTCTATCTTATCACCGTCTTTCGCATATTTGGCCATCGGGAGGCCTTTGCTGCCCTGCGATCCGCCGACCCTGCCGCCGCCCACTGTGAGTCCCCGCTGCCGCCGCCCACTGTGAGTCCCCGCTGCCGCCGCCCACTGTGAGTCCCCGCTGCCGCCGCCCACTGTGAGTCCCCGCTGCCACTGCTCACTGTGAGGTTCGTGAACTCTCAATTTATTCATACTGGCTTTTGACGAATCCTAGAAATGTGCTCTTCTCGTCAATCTTTTGCCCCCCTGCTCCATCTTCTCCCTCTCGCTCCCCCCTTCCCACCTCCATTCCATCCTCCTTCCCCCGCTCCTGCATCTGGTCCCTTCTTCTCTATCCACACAGTGCTATCCCCCAAGCTACGCGCCGTGCTCACCAAGATTCTGCACAAGTTTGAAGCCATGGGCCTGCGCCCTCTCTCTCCGCCCTCCTTCTCCGATGCTGCTGCCTCCGCTGCTGCTTCGGCTGCTGCTTCCGCCGCCGCTGCTTCCGCCGCCTCTTCTCTTGATTCAACTATGGGGGCTTCTGCTGCTGGTGTTGCTGGTGGTGCTTCTAAGGGTGCTGGTGCTGCTGCAAGGGGTGGTGGTGCTGCAAGGGGTGGTGGAGAGGGGAATGGGAGTGTGGCAGTGCGGCCAAGTCTGTTTGACGGCAAGACTGGCACCCGGGTTCTGATTTCCTCGTCAAACTTCTATGCCCTCAGGGTGAGTGATGTCTGGATCGACTTCAGAAATGTATTCTTCATACCCCTTATTTCTACCTATGCAATCAGTGTGAGTTTTTCATTTGACTCGGAAAAAGACGACTCGCCAGTTACCAACAAATCACCCCATTCCTGTCATGTGAAGAATAGCTAGACTAGTCCCACCCAGACTGCTTTTCTCACCCACCTCCTCACCATTCCTCCCCCGTCACCCCCTCTCTCTGCAACCTGCCCCACTTGCGGTGTAGAGTAGAAGCGGTGTGTGGCGATTGAGTTGCTGCTGTGGCAATAGAGTGACTCTCCCACGTGGTGCGGTGCAGGCAGCACTGCAGCGCTTCCGGAATGCACCAACGCCACCTTCTACCCCTCCGCCCCTTTTTTAGTTTCCCATCTCCCACACCAACCCCAGGAGCGGTGTGTGGCGATTGAGTCGCTCCTGTGGCTCTCCCACGTGGTGCAGGCAGCACGGCAGCGCTTCCTGTCACACCTGCCCAAGGCGTCGTGGCCGCTGCTTGAGTCCTACACCTCTGAGACTGTAAGTCCTAACCAAACTCGTAATCTTCGTCTTATTGAGTTTCTTTCTTCCTCTCGCACCTGCCCAAGGCGTCCTGGCCGCTGCTTGAGTCCTACACCTCTGAAACGGTTAGTCACTCTTCATATCATACCAGAGTTGTATGTGTCCACCTCGTCACCATCTCATTCTCCCTTTCAACTCAAGGTGATGCCAGAGTTCAATCGAGCTCCAGTTAGGTGCCATGGTTTCAATACGTGGCAGCAATTCTTAGGGTGATGCCAGAGTTCTGTGCGCATGTGTTGAGCTGCTTTTGAGTCGACTCAAAAGCATTTCATTCTCCTTTTCAGCTCAAGGTGATGCAGAGTTCTGTGAGCATGTGTTGATCTGAGTGAGCTGAGGACAGCCTTTCAACCCCCATGTCTCCTCTTGCCCTCTCGCACACATACCTCTCCTCCCTCTCCCCCACCTCCATCACATTATGTCCTCGCAGCTGGAGGTGGTACCAGAGCTCTGTGAGCATGTCATGAGAACAGCTGCTCGGTTGCTAATCAACTTCTCCAGGTAAGCTGTCTGGCAGGCCTCGAGGTGAATTTTGAGGCGCCTCAAAATGTACCAGAGCTCTGTGAGCATGTCATGAGAACAGCTGCTCGGTTGCTCATCAACTTCTCCAGGTAAGCATTCTGGCAGGCCTCGACTTGAGCAGGTGCCCTCTCAATCTCTTGCCCCCTGTGCGAGGGACCTTCTCTTACCCTCGTCATCTTGGTCACCTTCCTGCTCCCCCCCCCTCCTCCCCCTCTCTCCCTCGCTGCTTCCCTACTTGAAGCTCGTTATTTGTTTTACCCTTCTCTTCTCCTTTCTTCTGCTGCCCCAATCCCGATTTTTCTTTTCATATGGTCTCTTTTTTTCTCGTTCAAATGCCGTCCTCTTCCTTTCTTTCCCATCTGCTCTCCGTTTACGATTCTTTCCTCTCTCCCTTCCCTTGAGTTCTCTCCTTGGCTTCCCCAGCTACGCTGACAAGATTGCAGCAGGGAGATGGGAGTCCCATGACGTCACGTCCTACCACAGCCCGTACGTGCATGTGCCATGGATGCACATGCTCATGCACTGCACTTGCACATTCACTTGCCCGTGCACATACACGTGCAAATCTCGAGCGTCGTCAGGGAGATGGGAGTCCCACGACGTCACGTCCTACCACAGCCCGTACGTTCTTGTGTCATGCCGCATGCGTTTTCTCATCAATGCCTACATACATGCATGCATTCAGGATCATGCATTTTAATCCATACAAATTACATGCATGAGTGCATGCGCTCTCCATCCCTCCCTCCATTCCATTCCCATCCCTCTCACCAGCTACATGGATGCAAAATTTAGCGGAGTTTCGCCTCTGGCAATGTCCTTCTTTCCCCTCACCGTCTCTATTCGTCCCTGACCCAACCCCCCTCCTCCTCCCACTTCCCACTCACTTCAGCTACGTGGATGCTCTGCTGTCGGAATTCCGCCTGCTGCTTCAGAGACTGAACCACCTGGGCATCCCAGTCCAGGTATTGTCGATTCTCGCATCATCGTCATCTTGCTCTCCTTTCCCTTTTTTTGTTTTTGTTTTTTTTTTTAGGGAGAATGGGCGCAGTGGTAGATGTGCTTCTAGTTGTGGGGGGCTCTTACCAGGTTGGGACCCTTATTTGTGGTCCGTTGTTCACTGTGCTTTCTGCCTGACTGCGCTTGTGTTGTGTGTTTGACATGACACGACACCCACACAGGTGCAGCAGCAGCTGGTGCAGTTTGCAATGGAAGCAGTAGCAAACTGCTGTAGAGTGCATGACGTGCTGGTGGAGGGCATCTGTGTGATCCGTTCCCTGATGTTCCTTCTGCCTGAACTGAACTGTGTCGGTTTGTTTGATATTTCCGTCTGCCTCCGCAGGTGCAGCACCAATTGGTGCAGTTTGCAATGGAAGCAGTGGCAGACGTGCTTGTAGAGGGCTTCTCGCGAGTCAAGCGCTGCTCCAATGAAGGCCGGGCGCTCATGTCTCTCGACCTGCAGGTAACCACTCACTCGCACCCAGGTAACATTCAACTTACATCAAGGGACCAAAATTACTCTCTCCTGGGGGGCCGTAACCGCAAGCTGGTCGCGGGATTTTTGCTCCAATGGAGGACGAGCGCTCATGTCGCTCGACCTGCAGGTACTCTCCAACTCCCATTCAGCGCCATACACCATTCATGACCTGCAGGTACCGCTTCTAGCCTGCATGGCCATCCTTAGAATTTAATCTAGGCAAGCGCAAATACCCTTCACTCTCAATCAGGACCTTCATTGTCATCCATCCGTTGATTTGTACACCCGTTTCCCCGACCAGACGCTGATCAACGGCTTGCAGCAGCTCACAGGACGCCGCCCGAACATGCAGATTGCTCGCAGCAGTGCAAAGTGCAGAGGGCAGAGTTAGTCAGAAACAGTTGCTCAAATCTCACCAATTCCTTTTTCCACCTTCTTCCCCCACCAGACGCTGATCAACAACTTGCAGCAGCTCACAGGGCGCCGCCCGGCTGCGAGTGATCTGCATAATTGCAGATCACTCGCGGGGTGCACAGCGATTCAGAACAGTTGCGCGTGACTTAACTATTCCTTTTCCCACCACCTCCCCCCGCCAGACGCTGATCAACGGCTTGCAGCAGCTCACAGGGCGCCGCCCGGACATGCAGATAGTTGACACGTACATCAAGGTGAGATCATTTTTAATTTTGACTAAAAAATTAAGCTACAATTAGACATAATTGGGTAATTGTTCTGCTCCATGTGGCTTCTTCTTCTGACATGTCTGTATAAACTACATACATAGACGACAATGTGAGGAGTAGTCATCAGATCGATTGAATTGCTGTGCGCAGCAGTATTGGGGGGTTGTTGGGTGTACGTTTTTTGAACATTCTCAAAAAACATACGCAGTAGTATTGGGGGGTTGTTGGGTGTACGTTTTTTGAACATTCTCAAAAAACATACGCAGTAGTATTGGGGGGTTGTTGGGTGTACGTTTTTTGAACATTCTCAAAAAACATACGCAGTAGTATTGGGGGGTTGTTGGGTGTACGTTTTTTGAACATTCTCAAAAAACATACGCAGTAGTATTGGGGGGTTGTTGGGTGTACGTTTTTTGAACATTCTCAAAAAACATACGCAGCAGTATTGGGGGGTTGTTGGGTGTGCTCTCCAACTTGAGTCTTTGAGACGTCTCAAAACAATCCAACTTGAGTCCCGCTTCCTACCACCCACCCACTCCCTTCCTGCAGGCCTTTTACCTGCCGAGGTGACTTTTGAGTCGACTCAAAAGTCATCCAACTTGAGTCCCCATTCCTACCACCCACCCACTCCCTTCCTGCAGGCCTTTTACCTGCCGAGGTGACTTTTGAGTCGACTCAAAAGTCATCCAACTTGAGTCCCGCTTCCTACCACCCACCCACTCCCTTCCTGCAGGCCTTTTACCCGCCGAGGTGACTTTTGAGTCGACTCAAAAGTCATCCAACTTGAGTCCCCATTCCTACCGCCCACCCACTCCCTTCCTGCAGGCCTTTTACCTGCCGAGGTGACTTTTGAGTCGACTCAAAAGTCATCCAACTTGAGTCCCGCTTCCTACCACCCACCCACTCCCTTCCTACAGGCCTTTTACCCGCCGAGGTGACTTTTGAGTCGACTCAAAAGTCATCTAACTTGAGTCCCCATTCCTACCACCCACCCACTCCCTTCCTGCAGGCCTTTTACCTGCCGAGGTGACTTTTGAGTCGACTCAAAAGTCATCCAACTTGAGTCCCCATTCCTACCACCCACCCACTCCCTTCCTGCAGGCCTTTTACCTGCCGAGGTGACTTTTGAGTCGACTCAAAAGTCATCCAACTTGAGTCCCCATTCCTACCACCCACCCACTCCCTTCCTGCAGGCCTTTTACCTGCCGAGGTGACTTTTGAGTCGACTCAAAAGTCATCCAACTTGAGTCCCGCTTCCTACCACCCACCCACTCCCTTCCTGCAGGCCTTTTACCTGCCGAGGTGACTTTTGAGTCGACTCAAAAGTCATCCAACTTGAGTCCCCATTCCTACCACCCACCCACTCCCTTCCTGCAGGCCTTTTACCTGCCGAGGTGACTTTTGAGTCGACTCAAAAGTCATCCAACTTGAGTCCCGCTTCCTACCACCCACCCACTCCCTTCCTGCAGGCCTTTTACCTGCCGAGGTGACTTTTGAGTCGACTCAAAAGTCATCCAACTTGAGTCCCGCTTCCTACCACCCACCCACTCCCTTCCTGCAGGCCTTTTACCCGCCGAGGTGACTTTTGAGTCGACTCAAAAGTCATCTAACTTGAGTCCCCATTCCTACCACCCACCCACTCCCTTCCTGCAGGCCTTTTACCTGCCGAGGTGACTTTTGAGTCGACTCAAAAGTCATCCAACTTGAGTCCCCATTCCTACCACCCACCCACTCCCTTCCTGCAGGCCTTTTACCTGCCGAGGTGACTTTTGAGTCGACTCAAAAGTCATCCAACTTGAGTCCCCATTCCTACCACCCACCCACTCCCTTCCTGCAGGCCTTTTACCTGCCGAGGTGACTTTTGAGTCGACTCAAAAGTCATCCAACTTGAGTCCCGCTTCCTACCACCCACCCACTCCCTTCCTGCAGGCCTTTTACCTGCCGAGGTGACTTTTGAGTCGACTCAAAAGTCATCCAACTTGAGTCCCGCTTCCTACCACCCACCCACTCCCTTCCTGCAGGCCTTTTACCCGCCGAGGTGACTTTTGAGTCGACTCAAAAGTCATCCAACTTGAGTCCCCATTCCTACCACCCACCCACTCCCTTCCTGCAGGCCTTTTACCTGCCGAGGTGACTTTTGAGTCGACTCAAAAGTCATCCAACTTGAGTCCCCATTCCTACCACCCACCCACTCCCTTCCTGCAGGCCTTTTACCTGCCGAGGTGACTTTTGAGTCGACTCAAAAGTCATCCAACTTGAGTCCCGCTTCCTACCACCCACCCACTCCCTTCCTGCAGGCCTTTTACCCGCCGGGGTGACTTTTGAGTCGACTCAAAAGTCATCTAACTTGAGTCCCCATTCCTACCACCCACCCACTCCCTTCCTGCAGGCCTTTTACCTGCCGAGGTGACTTTTGAGTCGACTCAAAAGTCATCCAACTTGAGTCCCCATTCCTACCACCCACCCACTCCCTTCCTGCAGGCCTTTTACCTGCCGAGGTGACTCAAAAGTCATCCAACTTGAGTCCCGCTTCCTACCACCCACCCACTCCCGTCCTGCAGGCCTTTTACCCGCCGAGGTGACTTTTGAGTCGACTCAAAAGTCATCCAACTTGAGTCCCCATTCCTACCACCCACCCACTCCCTTCCTGCAGGCCTTTTACCTGCCGAGGTGACTTTTGAGTCGACTCAAAAGTCATCCAACTTGAGTCCCGCTTCCTACCACCCACCCACTCCCTTCCTGCAGGCCTTTTACCCGCCGAGGTGACTTTTGAGTCGACTCAAAAGTCATCTAACTTGAGTCCCCATTCCTACCACCCACCCACTCCCTTCCTGCAGGCCTTTTACCTGCCGAGGTGACTCAAAAGTCATCTCAAAAGTCATCCAACTTGAGTCCCCATTCCTACCACCCACCCACTCCCTTCCTGCAGGCCTTTTACCTGCCGAGGTGACTTTTGAGTCGACTCAAAAGTCATCCAACTTGAGTCCCCATTCCTACCACCCACCCACTCCCTTCCTGCAGGCCTTTTACCTGCCGAGGTGACTTTTGAGTCGACTCAAAAGTCATCCAACTTGAGTCCCGCTTCCTACCACCCACCCACTCCCTTCCTGCAGGCCTTTTACCTGCCGAGGTGACTTTTGAGTCGACTCAAAAGTCATCCAACTTGAGTCCCCATTCCTACCACCCACCCACTCCCTTCCTGCAGGCCTTTTACCTGCCGAGGTGACTTTTGAGTCGACTCAAAAGTCATCCAACTTGAGTCCCGCTTCCTACCACCCACCCACTCCCTTCCTGCAGGCCTTTTACCTGCCGAGGTGACTTTTGAGTCGACTCAAAAGTCATCCAACTTGAGTCCCGCTTCCTACCACCCACCCACTCCCTTCCTGCAGGCCTTTTACCCGCCGAGGTGACTTTTGAGTCGACTCAAAAGTCATCTAACTTGAGTCCCCATTCCTACCACCCACCCACTCCCTTCCTGCAGGCCTTTTACCTGCCGAGGTGACTTTTGAGTCGACTCAAAAGTCATCCAACTTGAGTCCCCATTCCTACCACCCACCCACTCCCTTCCTGCAGGCCTTTTACCTGCCGAGGTGACTTTTGAGTCGACTCAAAAGTCATCCAACTTGAGTCCCCATTCCTACCACCCACCCACTCCCTTCCTGCAGGCCTTTTACCTGCCGAGGTGACTTTTGAGTCGACTCAAAAGTCATCCAACTTGAGTCCCGCTTCCTACCACCCACCCACTCCCTTCCTGCAGGCCTTTTACCTGCCGAGGTGACTTTTGAGTCGACTCAAAAGTCATCCAACTTGAGTCCCGCTTCCTACCACCCACCCACTCCCTTCCTGCAGGCCTTTTACCCGCCGAGGTGACTTTTGAGTCGACTCAAAAGTCATCCAACTTGAGTCCCCATTCCTACCACCCACCCACTCCCTTCCTGCAGGCCTTTTACCTGCCGAGGTGACTTTTGAGTCGACTCAAAAGTCATCCAACTTGAGTCCCCATTCCTACCACCCACCCACTCCCTTCCTGCAGGCCTTTTACCTGCCGAGGTGACTTTTGAGTCGACTCAAAAGTCATCCAACTTGAGTCCCCATTCCTACCACCCACCCACTCCCTTCCTGCAGGCCTTTTACCTGCCGAGGTGACTTTTGAGTCGACTCAAAAGTCATCCAACTTGAGTCCCCATTCCTACCACCCACCCACTCCCTTCCTGCAGGCCTTTTACCTGCCGAGGTGACTTTTGAGTCGACTCAAAAGTCATCCAACTTGAGTCCCCATTCCTACCACCCACCCACTCCCTTCCTGCAGGCCTTTTACCTGCCGAGGTGACTTTTGAGTCGACTCAAAAGTCATCCAACTTGAGTCCCGCTTCCTACCACCCACCCACTCCTCCTGCAGGCCTTTTACCTGCCGAGGTGACTTTTGAGTCGACTCAAAAGTCATCCAACTTGAGTCCCGCTTCCTACCACCCACCCACTCCCTTCCTGCAGGCCTTTTACCCGCCGAGGTGACTTTTGAGTCGACTCAAAAGTCATCTAACTTGAGTCCCCATTCCTACCACCCACCCACTCCCTTCCTGCAGGCCTTTTACCTGCCGAGGTGACTTTTGAGTCGACTCAAAAGTCATCCAACTTGAGTCCCGCTTCCTACCACCCACCCACTCCCTTCCTGCAGGCCTTTTACCTGCCGAGGTGACTTTTGAGTCGACTCAAAAGTCATCCAACTTGAGTCCCGCTTCCTACCACCCACCCACTCCCTTCCTGCAGGCCTTTTACCCGCCGAGGTGACTTTTGAGTCGACTCAAAAGTCATCTAACTTGAGTCCCCATTCCTACCACCCACCCACTCCCTTCCTGCAGGCCTTTTACCTGCCGAGGTGACTTTTGAGTCGACTCAAAAGTCATCCAACTTGAGTCCCCATTCCTACCACCCACCCACTCCCTTCCTGCAGGCCTTTTACCTGCCGAGGTGACTTTTGAGTCGACTCAAAAGTCATCCAACTTGAGTCCCCATTCCTACCACCCACCCACTCCCTTCCTGCAGGCCTTTTACCTGCCGAGGTGACTTTTGAGTCGACTCAAAAGTCATCCAACTTGAGTCCCGCTTCCTACCACCCACCCACTCCCTTCCTGCAGGCCTTTTACCTGCCGAGGTGACTTTTGAGTCGACTCAAAAGTCATCCAACTTGAGTCCCGCTTCCTACCACCCACCCACTCCCTTCCTGCAGGCCTTTTACCCGCCGAGGTGACTTTTGAGTCGACTCAAAAGTCATCCAACTTGAGTCCCCATTCCTACCACCCACCCACTCCCTTCCTGCAGGCCTTTTACCTGCCGAGGTGACTTTTGAGTCGACTCAAAAGTCATCCAACTTGAGTCCCCATTCCTACCACCCACCCACTCCCTTCCTGCAGGCCTTTTACCTGCCGAGGTGACTTTTGAGTCGACTCAAAAGTCATCCAACTTGAGTCCCGCTTCCTACCACCCACCCACTCCCTTCCTGCAGGCCTTTTACCCGCCGGGGTGACTTTTGAGTCGACTCAAAAGTCATCCAACTTGAGTCCCCATTCCTACCACCCACCCACTCCCTTCCTGCAGGCCTTTTACCTGCCGAGGTGACTTTTGAGTCGACTCAAAAGTCATCCAACTTGAGTCCCCATTCCTACCACCCACCCACTCCCTTCCTGCAGGCCTTTTACCTGCCGAGGTGACTTTTGAGTCGACTCAAAAGTCATCCAACTTGAGTCCCGCTTCCTACCACCCACCCACTCCCTTCCTGCAGGCCTTTTACCTGCCGAGGTGACTTTTGAGTCGACTCAAAAGTCATCCAACTTGAGTCCCCATTCCTACCACCCACCCACTCCCTTCCTGCAGGCCTTTTACCTGCCGAGGTGACTTTTGAGTCGACTCAAAAGTCATCCAACTTGAGTCCCCATTCCTACCACCCACCCACTCCCTTCCTGCAGGCCTTTTACCTGCCGAGGTGACTTTTGAGTCGACTCAAAAGTCATCCAACTTGAGTCCCCATTCCTACCACCCACCCACTCCCTTCCTGCAGGCCTTTTACCTGCCGAGGTGACTTTTGAGTCGACTCAAAAGTCATCCAACTTGAGTCCCGCTTCCTACCACCCACCCACTCCCTTCCTGCAGGCCTTTTACCTGCCGAGGTGACTTTTGAGTCGACTCAAAAGTCATCCAACTAGAGTCCCCATTCCTACCACCCACCCACTCCCTTCCTGCAGGCCTTTTACCTGCCGAGGTGACTTTTGAGTCGACTCAAAAGTCATCCAACTTGAGTCCCCATTCCTACCACCCACCCACTCCCTTCCTGCAGGCCTTTTACCCGCCGAGGTGACTTTTGAGTCGACTCAAAAGTCATCCAACTTGAGTCCCCATTCCTACCACCCACCCACTCCCTTCCTGCAGGCCTTTTACCTGCCGAGGTGACTTTTGAGTCGACTCAAAATTCATCCAACTTGAGTCCCCATTCCTACCACCCACCCACTCCCTTCCTGCAGGCCTTTTACCTGCCGAGGTGACTTTTGAGTCGACTCAAAAGTCATCCAACTTGAGTCCCCATTCCTACCACCCACCCACTCCCTTCCTGCAGGCCTTTTACCTGCCGAGGTGACTTTTGAGTCGACTCAAAAGTCATCCAACTTGAGTCCCGCTTCCTACCACCCACCCACTCCCTTCCTGCAGACCTTTTACCCGCCGAGGTGACTTTTGAGTCGACTCAAAAGTCATCCAACTTGAGTCCCCATTCCTACCACCCACCCACTCCCTTCCTGCAGGCCTTTTACCTGCCGGAGACAGAGTACCTCTACTGGGCTCTCAGCCATCCTGTGAGTAACCATGTAACCATGTAACAATGTGATGCACTTGTGTGATTATGCTATGCTGTAACCATGTATGTGGGTGACCAAGCAACTATGTGACCCTGTATGTAACCATGTAACCAGTTAACTGTGCTACATTGTAACTATGCTTTTAGTAACCTAGTAACCATGAAACCTGTAACTAGGTAACCATGTTTACCTGGTGATTCAGCTACCTGACTCGTGCCAGGTAATCAGCCTGGCCGTCCGTCCATACTCCCTACGTACAGAAGGTGTTTGCCCTGCCTGATGCTATACTGCCTGATTTTAGGTTATTTGAACCATTGTGCTGTACCATCTGTTCTGGTTCCCCTCACTTGCAGGAGTATTCACGAGCGCAGGTGGTGTCGCTGATCAACCTGGTGGCGGTGATGAAGGGGTGGAGGAGGAAGACCCGCGTTGACCTCATTGACCGAATTGACCTCCTCTGTGCCATGCCGTGTGCCACTGTTCTCCCCCACTTGCAGGAGTATTCACGAGCTCAAGTTGTCTGTCTGATCAACCTGGTGTCAGTGATGAAGGGGTGGAGGAGGAAGACCCGCGTTGACCTCATTGACCGGATCGAGGGGCAAGAGATCAGATGAGGACGAACGGAAAAGAAAAGCAGATGAGCATGAGTGGGAGAAGGGCAGATGAGCATGAGAGGGATTTTCTGTACCCGTGTGAAAAAGAGAAGGTTTTGTGTTGGGCTCATTGACCGGATCGAGGGGCAGGAGATCAGATGAGATGAGAGGTGGAGGGGAGCTTCATTCACGTGTCGAGGTATTGGAGTGCTGATGAGCATGAGTGGAAGATTCTGCACGTGTTTCTTTTCTTCGTTGACAGACTGGCAGTGGGGAATAGATGGAAGAAGATGAAGACTTGCATTGACTTCATTGACCGGCTTGAGGAGAGGTGGATGGATGGAGGGATGGGGCAAAAAGAGGTACAAAGATGAAGGGCACGAGGCAGGGGCACAAGGCAGGGGCACGAGGCCGGGGCACGGAGGACTTTTGAGGCGCCTCAAAAGTCGATGAAGGGCACGAGGCAGGGGCACGGAGGAAGACTTGCGTTGACTTGATGGACCAGATTGAAGGGCAGGAGGGGCAGGTGAATTTGAATGGGCGAATTCAAAAGCTGGAGAGGGAAGATTCGCGTTGACCCGCGTTGACCTGCGTTGACCTTTTTTACCACTGTAGATGATGATCCCATCCGTTTGTTGTCTGACTGAATAACGACTGGTTGACTGGCTGACTGACTGACAGAGAGATAGACAGATTGACAAACTGACTGACTTGCCGACTGACTGCTCACGGATGGGCATACACAGCTAACTGGCTAGAAAGCTCTCCTGGTTAATCCTTAGGACATTTCGCCGAGCTGTTTTGGCAAGGGTGAGGTGCGGTGGAGAGGTGTGCTGAGACAAGAAGGGGGTTGGACAGGAGGAGGGGGTAGTGCTGACAGACGAGGAGGAGATGACTGACAGACTGACTGAAGCATGTGAACAAGGTTTCTGAGTCGGCTCGAGTTGGAGTTCTGACGCGTCTCAAAGCACAATTTTGAGGCGCCTCAAAATTCATCTCGAGTTGGAGTTCTGACGCGTCTCAAAGCACAATGCGCCCTGGGAGTGTATCGGTGGGAGTTAACCATTGGGGGTTGACAACCCGTTGGGAGTTGACTGTTGGGAGTTGACCATTCGGTTGAAGTTGACTTTTGAGTCGACTCAAATGTCAACCTGTTGGGGGTTGTCAACCACCCGTCCTCCTGCGTTCAGGAGGACACCTGTTGGGTTGGAGTTTCTCCAAGGCAGCAAGGGAACGGGTGTCCTCCTGAACGCAGGAGCGTTGCTGGTTCCGTGCTTTCAAGTGCTGCTGATGCCATGCTTTCGCAGGAGCGCTGCTGGTATGGGGTTCCCTCCTGAGAGTGGGTGGGAATGCACTTCATCGGCACGAGGTGGCTTCATTCGCTCCATTGGCTCCATTGGCTTCAGTCGCTCCATTGGCATGACGCACTGTTTACTGCCAGCAGGTTAGCTCCATTGCCCCTTTCTGTCCCGTCTCCCATGCCTTTGCTCTTTGGCTTGCTTTATTTCCCGGTCTGTCTGCCATGGCCAAGGTCATACCTACTATCCGGCGTAGTCTGGTGACTTTTGAGTCGACTCAAAAGTCATATCCTGGTCTCTCTGCCTTGGCCAAGGGTCATACCTACTATCCGGTGTAGTTTGACCAGAAGAGACGCTTTCTCTTGAAGTTTTTCTTTATTATATTTCGAAAGCCCTTTATTTTGAATGGCTTTACCAGCATTCTTTTTCTCGCTGATATTTGCATCTTGTTCATTGTCCCATCCCATCATTTTCTCTCGCATTGTGTGTTACACAGATGGGGCAGCTATACCACCAGGCCCCAAATTGTTTTTGGGGTAGGCTGGGAAATCCGAGTTCGCTGGCAGATTTACGCTGAAAATCAGACAAATTTGCCATTTTATACTAAAAACCATTGGAGAATTACTGTACCAAGTTTTTTTAGGAATGGTGCATGCGTGCCGGTACATACTCCTCCGGATATAGAGCCCTGGGTGGGTAGATTAGGTATTGTCCCCAACTCCAAGAATAGGGTCTGGGTCTGGGTCTGGGGGTGCAGTATTGGGGGACAAAGTGTATGGCACCTACTGGATAGGTACATGTAAAATAATGTGAAAAAATTTGTCTGATTTGAGGTGCCCTAACTCGACTGTACCTGTGTCAAAGCAGTTTGCATTTGCAAGACCTTTGCAGATTGATGTGACCGTTGGGATTGGGAACAAGGTGCGGGTTGGAAGGGTAACGAGCGGAACATCATGACGTGTGCTTCAGGGAACTTTTAATAAGCATTTGACGAGATTTGAAAGTGGTGTAGGAGGGACATCCTTTTACATACATACATACCGTACCTACCGGCACCAAGAGCTTCTTACAGTTGTTTTTTTTAAGTACGCTTGCAGTATTGCAGTGGCTATTCTGCAGTAAGTCTACGTATTCACTGATAAAGTTGCTCGCAGTGTGTAGTAGGTACAGAATAGAACTAAATTGATGTAACCCTGCTGCTATCTCCTCAACTGCCTCCTGATTCGCTGTATCTGCGTCTCCTGTTGCACTGCAAACCGCTGCGCCTGCTCCAACTGCTGCTCCAGGCGCTGCCGCTGCCACTGCTGCTGCTGGGTTGGGTACATGAATTGCTCTTCCTCCCTCCGTAGCCCCCGCAGCTGCCCCTGTAACTGCACCACATGCCGCCTCTGCTGTGCCTGCTCCAGCTGAAGCTGCTTCAGCTGCTGCTCCAGTGATGCTCCGATACCAGAGGGACCAGAAACGCCTCTTTGATGCTGCTGCTCCAGCAACACCTGAGTCGACCCAAAAGTCTGCTCCAGAGACGCTCGGACACCAGAAGGAACTCGCCGATTCTGCTGCTGCTGCTGCTGCTGCTGCTGCTGGTGCTGTCGCCGCAAGGATTGCTGTTGTTGTTCCTGCCGCTGCAATGGTTGTTGTTGCTGCTGCTGCTGCTGCTGCTGCTGCTGCTGCTGCTGTTGCAGCAAAAACTGGCCTACTTGGGAGGCAAACTGATCACCCACTGCATTAGAAGCACCAGTACCAGCAGCACCCTTGTTTCTTCCTCCTCCAGCATTTGATGTTCCACCAGATCTTAGCATCCCACCAGCGCTAAGAACCCCACTAGCACTTAGCGCACTCAGAAACTGGCCTAGACCGGCACCTCCCAAACCAGCAGCACCGGTTGAAACCGCTCCAGAAGCAGGAGCACCAACAACACCAGGAGAAGGAGCACTGGTCCCACCACTCGCAACTGCAGTGGCAGCTGCAATGGCGGCAGCGAAAGCAGCAGCAGCCTTTTCAGGTGTGACTGAGGTTGGAAGAGGTAAGCCTGCCCCAGATACAGCCTGCGCTGCTGCCTGCGCTAACAGAGCCTCGACCGTTGCAGAGGATGCTGCTACTCCTGGGTTGCTGCCTTGCGCATGGATGGACTCCCTCGTCCGCTTCCTCTTCCTTTTTCGATCATCATCCACCTCTTCCCCCCCCTCCTCTTGACCGTGATCAGTGCTGTCGTCACTATCACTGCTACCACTATCGCCACTCGCACTAGCACTATCACTATCACTATCATCACTAACACTTTCACTCTTGTCACTATCAGTATCACTACCATCATCACTATCATCCTCATCCTCATCCTCATCACTTGAATTGCTGATTCTCCCTTTCCCTCGTCTTCTCCTACCTGATCTCCCCCTCTCCCGCTCTTCCCGCCGCTTCTTCCCTCCGCTCCTCCAATCCCTCTTCCTCCCCTTCCTGTCTTTCCTCCTCCCCCCTAGCCCCCCTCTTCGTTTCACCTCCACCACATCCTCTGAATCATCCTCACTCTCACTCTCACTCTCGCTCTCACTCTCACTCTCGCCCTTCCTACGCTTCCTCCTTCCTCCTTTCCCTCCTCCCTTCACCTCCACTACTTCTTCTGAATCCTCGTCACTCTCACTCTCATCTTCACCCTCCCCCTTGTTACCTTTCCTCTTTCCTCTTCTCCTCCCTCGTCTCCTACCCCTTCTCCTCCCTCTTCTCAACTCATCATCTGAATCCTCCTCACTCTCACTATCGCCCATCTTTCCTTTCCTCTCCTTGCCTCTCACTCTCCTTCTCACCTCTATATCTCTAGAATCCTTCTCATTCTCACTCTCACTCCTACTCCCACCACTGCCACTCAATTCCTCTTCCTTCACCGATACCTCAATCACCTCCGCCTTTCGCCCCTCCGCCTTTCGCCCCTTACCATCCCGCACTCCCCCATTCCTATTCCCGCCCTTTACCCCCTTAGTTCCGCCTTTACCCCCTTCCCTGCTATCATTTTCCCCTCGCCTGCCATCCTTCTCCCCTTCCCCACCACTCCTCTCCCCTTCGTCTCCATTATTTTCCCCACCATAGTGAGCCATCAAGACTGGGTCACCGCCGCCGCCCCTCTCCCCGTCACTGCCGCCCATCTCCCCGTCACTGCCGCCCCTCTCCCCGTCACTGCCGCCCATCTCCCCGTCACCGCCGCCCATCTCCCCGTCACTGCCGCCCCTCTCCCCGTCACTGCCGCCCCTCTCGCCGCCACTGCCGCCCCTCTCCCCGTCATTGCCGCCCATCTCCCCGTCACCACCGCCCATCTCCCCGTCACTGCCGCCCCTCTCCCCGTCATCGCCGGCCATCTCCCCGTCACCGCCGCCCATCTCCCCGTCACCGCCGCCCATCTCCCCGTCACTGCCGCCCATCTCCTCGTCACTGCCGCCCATCTCCCCGTCACCGCCGCCCCTCTCCCCGTCACTGCCGTCCCTCTCCCCATCACTGCCGTCCCTCTCAGCCACATCCCCTCCTGCCTGTTCTCCTGTTTCTCTCCCCACACCATCCGTCTCCCCTCCTACATCCCCATCCCCATCCCCACCAACCTGAATAGTGTTTCTAGACGTCTCCAACTCCCCGTCACCATTCTTCTCCCCAACAGCGCCCCCACCAACCAGCATGGCCCACGCAGTGTGAAAGGAAGCGTTTCGTTTCTTAGACCGCTTTTCAGGCTGCTTTTGAGGCGCCTCAAGAGCCTGCGTACCAGCCGAATCAATACCCGTCTTTGCTCCACTCTTTCCCTTCTTTTGAAGTGCTTTTTTTGACTGAGATGTTTCAAAACTTCGACCCCCCTCTGGCCTCCTTCTCACCTTCTCTCTCACCCTCTCCTTCTCTCGTGTCCTCTCCTCTCTCACCTTTTCCCCCTTCTTTCGCACTCGTTCCTCTCGCTCCCTCTCCTCTCTCACTCTCTCCTTCCTCCCCACTCTCTCCTTTCTCACTCTATCCCCCTCCTCCCGCTCCTTCCCCCCACTCACTACCACCAAATGCCCTCTCTCCCTGCTCATACATGTACCCAGACGCGTTCCCAGAGGAGTAAGGAAAAGCAGCACTACCACCAGGCACCCCTCCCAACCACTCTCCACCGCCACCTCCTCCTCGCTGCTCCTGTCTCACCACACACTTGGGCAAACGCTTGGCACGCGTGGTGGGGCCTGGAGGACCCGCATTGGGAGTGAGAACAGCTGCTTGGGAACCAGGGAAAGCGTGTCCAGGCATGGGTGGAGAGCGGTTGAGACCGGTACCAAGGGATGGTGGGGCAGTGAAACCACCTGCCCAAGAACCAACGCCGCCTAATGGTCTCTGCAGCCTCTGCTGCCATTGCTCTGAGCCCATGACAGCAGCACGCGAGTAAATAGTTGACTTTTGAGTCGACCTGTGCTGCCCCTGCAGCCTCTGCTGCCACTCCTCCGAACCCATGACAGGAGCACGAGGAGCAAAAGGGCCAGCGGTGCGTGTGCCAGGGAAGCCAGGAGCACGGGGGTTAAGAGGGTCAGCTGCACAGGAGCCAGGGAAACCAGGGGGAACACGAAGCCTAAGATTACCAGTGGCACGAGAGGCAGAGAAGCCAGCAGCACGAGGCACATGCAGGGCACCGGCCCATGAACCATCCCTGCCCGAAAACCCCTGCCTCTGCTGCTGTGTTGCGGCGTTAACAGCAGCCATGGGAGAAGTACGGTTAAAGGCACCCGGCCAGGACCCATCCCTGCCCCACACCCCTCGTTGGCGCTGCGTAGACGCGTGCTGAGGAGGAGGAGGAGGAGGCGCGCTTTGAGGCGGCAAGGAAGGGAAGTCACATGAGTCAAGAGCTTCAAGAGCATCCCGCGAGTCAACAGAGTGAACTGAGTCAGGAGAATCAGCGCGGTTGTCTGGAAGCTCTTCTGCCCAAGAATCATCGTCGCTGCCCCATGGGGCCTGCTGCCCGTGAAACTTCTGCTGTCCGTCAAACCTCTGCTGCCCGTGAAACTTCTGCTGCCCGTGAAACCTCTGCTGTTTCTGAAACTCCTCCTGCTCCAGAAACGCCCGGAGTTTGGCTTTACTGGCCCAGGGTGTTGGCAGCAGCGGGGCAGCATTGCCTGCAGCAGCAGCACCACCAGCAGCAGCAGCAACACCAGCTGTGTGCGCGGGCTTGGCCGACGGCCTTGCAGTGTGTTCGAGGTAAGCATCACCACGACAAGCACTAGCAGCACCAGCGCCACCAGCAGCACCAGCAGCACCAGCAGCAGCAGCAGAAGCAGCAACAGCAGCAGCAGAAGCCTTCTTGACAGAGCGCAGGTACGCATACTTACGGAGCCATTTCGGCCCATAGAGTGACTGCATAAGCGATTTCACATGCGTATCATCCGCCCACTTCTCCAAATCGTACGGGTCTGATTGCCGGTCGTATGAGGGCTTAGGTGCTGATTGCTGCTCGTTAAGAGGTTTGTTGGGCGCATTCCTTCCTCTCTGCTGATTCCTCCCTTGTCCCTTCTCCTGCTCGGCTCCTCCTGCACCATCACCTTCAGTCCCCACTCCCCCTGCCTTTGACTTGTACCGCTCTAGAACCCCCAGCACCCACTCCTCTGTGTATTCAAAGTCAGAGGGGGCATCCAGGGTCGGGCCTAATTCTTTTGCCCTATCTAATAGCATCTGCACCGTTATACACCCAGCGGATTTCATATTATCCTCCCCCACCACCCTCTTTACGGCCCCATCTGTCACAACCTTCACTGGTAAGCTCACTGGCCTCTCACCCTGTGCACTCCCTCCCTCTTCTTCTCCCTCTCCTTCTTCTCCTCCTATTCCTCCTCCTCCTCCTTCCGCTCCTCCCCTCCCTTCCTCCTCCTCTCCACCCCCCTCTACCCCTTCCATCACAAACACCCCCTCCTTTATCCTCCCCCTCCTCACCAACTCCCCTGCCCCTATTGCCTCAATCCAGCTCAACAGTGCCGCTTCCAGCCTCACACACTGCACCCGCCCATCCACACCGCCCTCAACCGTATAATACTTCTTCTTCTTCCAATCCCACCGCTTCCCTTTCACTCTAAAGTCCTCCTCCTTTCCTTTCGGAATATTCATCCACCAATCACTCTCGTTCCTGACTTTCCGAATCATCGATTCAAACATGGGAGTTCCCCAAGCCTGCAGCAGAGCCTTGGCAAGAAACAAACTGGAGAGGTTCGGGACGGAGTGTATGACGAGGCAAAGCGCCCGCTTTTGGTGCGTGGTCATCTGGAAGGAGCGCCGAAGCTGCACGGGCAGAGGGGGGCCGTGTATCCGCTTGCGCACATGGGGGGATGGGGTGGTTTCGCTGGGTTCAGAGGGGTGCGAGGGGGGTGAGGAGTGGTGGACAGGGGTAATGGGAGGGGCGTTTGCGGCAGGAAGGGCAAGGACGATAGATAGGGCGGGGGGGTGTGAGGTGGGTGGGGTGGAGGTGGAGGAAGGAGGTTCTTCCTGCCCCTCTGACAAAGTTTCAGGTGTTAGTAGTATGGCTTCAGGTGGTACAGGTACGGTTTCAGGTGCTGGTACAGTTTCAGGTGCTGGTACAGTTTCAGGTGCTGGTACAGTTTCAGGTGCTGGGACAGTTTCAGGTGCTGGTACAGTTTCAGGTGGTGGAACAGTTCCAGGAGTCGGTTGCTGTGCAGATGCTGGTTGAGACGTGGGACGGGCAAAGAGAAACTCAGGCAATCGCAGCAGGGATATGGGTTTTGAGCTCTTCTGCTGCTGCTGTGATGCATTCACTGGCTGCTGCTGCTGTGACGGACTAGTAAGTGGCTGTTGTGACGCACTGACTGGCTGCTGCTGCTGCTGCTGCTGCTGCTGCTGCTGCTGCTGCTGCTGCTGCTGCTGCTGCTGCTGCTGCTGCTGCTGCTGCTGCTGCTGCTGCTGCTGCTGCTGCTGCTGCTGCTGCTGCTGCTGCTGCTGCTGCTGCTGCTGCTGCTGCTGCTGCTGCTGCTGCTGCTGCTGCTGCTGCTGCTGTGCCTGCAGCAGCTGCTGCTTCTGCTGCTGCTGCTGCGAGTACCTCAGTTGTTGTTGCTGCCGCAGGGGCACTGCAGAGAGGGGCATGCATTGCATGAGAGGCGAAGCGAGGGAGAACGGGCTTCTCCCGACAAGCCCACTGGAATGCGCATGCCCACCCATAGCACCAGCAGGACTGCTAAGACCAGCACCACCAGCAACAGAGCTGCCAAGACCAGCACCAGCACCATCACCAGCGGCAGTGGCAGCAGCAGCAGCGGCAGGGGCAGCATTGCTAGCACCAGCAGCATCGAGGTAAATGCCGCAGCCAGTGGCGCCCCTGTGGTACTTACTAAGCCAATCCGGGCCCAGAATGGCGCGCATAAGGCTTGACACGTCTGGATCGTCTACCCACTTGTCTAGACCATACGGGTCCTCTTCTCTGCTGCTGTATGCAGCTGCGTTTTGGGACTCCTCGAAACGCCTCTGCAACACAACCGGATCCCAACGTTCCCCCTCGTTCCCCCCTTCCTCGTTTCCCTCCTGCTCGCCCCCCTCTTCCCCCTCCCCCTCTTCCTCATCGCTTCCATCATCATCCTCACCATCTGACTCTTCCTCCTCCTCCTCCGCTTCCTCATTCCCCTCCCCCCTCTCCTCCTCCCCTCCCTCCCCATTCTCCCACCTCAGTTCCCCTTCCCCTGCCCCCTCTCCCCCTACTCCCGCACCCCCCTCTCCCGCAATTTCCCCAACCACCCCGGTCTTCTTCACCCTATATCGCGCCACCACCGCTTCTGCCCACCCAATTCCGTACCTGAAGTTACTCGAAACGCCTAAAGCAGGCCCAAGCTTCCTCCCCATGTCAGATACCATTTCCAATGTCAGAAAAACTGGAAAGGTGCCCTTCTGAGGAGCCCCACTCCTCCCCCCATCCTTCCCCCCATCCCTCCCCCCATCCTTCCCCCCATCCCCCTCCTCCTCCATCACCAGCCTCCGCTCTCTGATCCTCCCCCGACAAATTAGCTCCTCCGCCCCCATCTCCTCAAACCACCGCCCCATCGCCTCTTCTAACCTAGACCACCTCCCCACCCCCGATCCAACCACCCGTTTCTTCTTCCTCCTCTTCCTCTTCTTCTTCTTCCCCATGTTCTTCCACGCCTTCCCAGGCACTCTCCCCATCTCCGGCTCTTTCCCCCGGGGAATGGTCATCCACCACCACCTATCCCTGACTATGTACGATATCGTTGCACTGTGCACCTGCACGCCCCAAGCCGGCAGCGCAGCCCTGGCGAGGTAGGCTTGGCGCAGGTTCGGCAGCGCCCGTTGCACGAGGCAGACGGCTCGCCTTTGCCCCGGCGTCAGCACGGAATGGCGGGACCGCCGATTCTTCCCCTCTTTGGGCGGCGTTTTGGAGGCATGTGGGGGAGGCGTGGTCTGGCCGGCTTGGGCGGCTCGGGTGGCTTGGGCGGCTAGGCCGCCCTGAAAGGAGTGCAAAGGGTCTGTGGTTCGGGAAGCCGGGGCGGCTTGGGAGGGGAGGTGGAGGAGGGTGGTGGTGTGGCGGGCGGTGGGGGCATTGGGGTCACTGGGAGCAGCAAGGGCGATGACAATGGGCACGGGGGAAGACACGCCGGCGGGTAAGCTGGGGGCTGCACCTGTGGCTGGTGGGAGTGCTCCCCTGGCCGGAGGGGCTGCACCTGTGGCTGGGGAGGCAGTGCATGTGCCCACTATGGCCTGGACAGCAGCAGCCTCTGTGGCGGAAGTGGCTTGTTCAAGCCTTCGTTTTTTCACACCACCACCATCATTGGCACCACCATCACCACCACCATCGCCACCACCATCACCACCACCATCATCTTCCCACCTAACCCGCTTGCTTCCTCTCTTCCTCATTCCTGCTGCGGCTGCGGCTGCAGCCGCACGAACACCCTCAGCAGCACCAGCACCGCCAACATCACAGGCAGCATCAGCATCAGAATCACCATCACCATCAGCGTTCCCATCATCATCCCCTTCTGCGTAAAACCCCCCTCCTCCATCCCTCCCAGACCCTGTTCTGTCAGCTACAACCAACCCCTCTTCTCCTTCTTCTTCTTCTTCTAGTAGCTCAGTGAGGGCATCCGACGACCAAGGGTTATTTACCGTAAAAAAATCCCCTTCTCCTGAACCTCCACGATCAGGTTCAGGGATTCTCACAACGCTTTCTCCCACTCCTTCACCTCCTTCCCCTCCTACCCCTCCCATCCCTGTCCTCGATATTGAGCGTCCCGCTGCTGTACCTCGTCTTGCCCCTGTCGTTCCATGCAACACCTGCCAGGCAGCATGTTCAGCAGTCCGAATCTGCATGTTCACAAAACTGATCAACCCACCATCCCACTCCTCCTCCCATCCCTCCTCTTTGCCTCCTTTCTCCATCCCATCCTCTCCCACTCCTCCCTCCTCTCCCTCCTCTCCCTCTCTTCTCCCTCCTCCCTCTCCTCCCTCACCTCTCTCATCCCCGTTATCAGCATCCTCGTTACTAGTCCCCGACGACAGCAGCAGCCCAAACCTCTTCATAAACCTCGTCGCCCACGACCTGCCAAACCTGAAACCCGGCCGCATCTTAAACCCCGGCCCTATCTCCTTAGCCTTCGCTATAATCTCCTCTCGAGTCACCTCCCTCTTCTCCCTCTCCTCCTCTTTAATCACCCACTCAGCCAAAGCCTCCTCCATTCGTAACAGGTTCGGATCTGGCACCGCTGCGGTAACAATCCCGAACCACTTGTCGTAAAACGTACTTATTCTGTCAAGCGTCCTAAAGTTCATCCCCGTTCCGTACTTAACTGTAATCGCTGCAGCAATCACCCTATTGTCTAGGTTCGGCCGTGCACGTTTGACCACAGAAATCTCGTACCGAATCCGGATATCAAACGGAACCTCGTTCCAAGGAACACGCCCCGAGCCTGAGTCCCCGCCTCGGGCCAAACCTTCACCAGCACCACCACCAGCAGGGCCCTCTTCCCCCGAACCTGCTCCATCAGCCCCGGCATCATTCCCCGAGCATGCGCCTCCGGCCTGATTAATCTCCTCCCCTCTCGAATTCAACCCGTGGTCCTTTAAAAGCCTGAGCATCCAATCTGTGCTGTAAATATGCTCTGCCGGGACGCCATACGAGGGCCCAATTGTCATCGCATAATCCGTCATCTCTTTCAACGTCACGAACCTCTTAACTCCGTTAACAATATTCTGAGGTTTCAGAGACTCCCTGTGCCTAATCTCGCGTATCCACTGCAGCAGATCTGCTTCCAATTCCGGGTTCTTGTAACGCTTGCGCCACCAATTGTGCCAGTTGGCTTTAACGGACGGATCGGTTTTGGAGCGAAGGATGATCATCTCCACCCTCGATTCTTTCAGCGTCACTCCGAAGTGCTTCGCGACGGCGCGCGCGATCTGCTCGCTCGTCAGGATAGGGTGGGCTTTTTTGAGAGCTAAAATTTCCCGCTCAATTTTCTGGTCCACCGAGATTCGTTTGTACTTCCGCTTCGACGGACGAGGTTCGGATCCCGAAGCCACAGGTTCGGACTGCGGTTCGGAAGCGCCTGCCGAGCCTGTCGCTGCTGCTGACGTGGCTGCTGGCTGCTGCTGGTTGTGCTGAGCTGGTGAAGGGAACGGAATGGCTGACAAAGGCGCAGCAACATGATCAACCTGCATTTCGCCTCCACCACACCCGCCATTCTGATCGAAACCTGACGGCTCCTGCTGTCGCATCTTAAAGCAAAATAAATCAGTCAAACGAAACTATTAAATGAGACGACGAATGGAGAGAGAGAGAGAGAGACAGAGAGAGAAAAAATCTATCAGCTCCGCAATCGTCGCTGCTGGACGGTCATGATGAATCGCGTGGCTCTTCTTACAAGGATAACAACGTAAACGCAATCATAGGACTCCAGCTGGCTGTTGCGACGATATATAAATGACGACGATATTACTACGAGCCTCACTACGAGACTAGCTAAACTGTGGACGAGCCTAAACCTACGACACAACTAAGACGACGACACAACTAAAACTACGGCTCGACTACAATCAGAACGACGAGCTTGAAAAGAAAAATAAGCCTGCTACTGGCGGTGGACTTGGCGGTGCGTCCGACTTGTAGCTGGGTGTAGGCGACTTGAGGATGATTCAAACTAAGATAGATTTGGCGGGAACAGTGTGATAGGGGAGATAAGCAACTGAGGAACAAGCAGCAGAGAAGAAAGCCTTACGTTGGCCTCATTATCACGCAAAACCAGAGACACAGATATAGAACACTTGCTCTTCTGGAAGAGTGCAGGAAAAGTAGTTGTCTTTTGATGAAGGGGTGACAGATCTCTCCATAATTTCGTCGCGCAAGATGAAAATAAAACCTCCTTCATGGGCGGGAAAAGGAGATCGACGGCTGGCATAACCCCTCTCATGACAGGCAGATGTGGTCGACGGTAAAGAAGCACCAGATGCTCTCAAGGTGGAGAAGTAAACTCCTGGTTCTGCTGCAAGAAAAAAACTCACCGTTTACCTTCGCAGGACGAGGTGGTAAACCTCGATAATTTCGTCGCTAAGGCGAAAGCCAAACCGCTTCCGCAACTGTACCACGTATAATCGACGGTTTATCGGGAGGTGGGTGACGACTCGTGATGTGATCTACGGCATTTATGCGTGCGAAACTGGTGAATGGATTTCGAGAAGATTCAGAGGATGGGTTTCCCTCTTGATATTTTTTTTTCGGGCTATTCAATCGCCCTAGAGGGAAGGATCCCGAAATTACATTGGACACCAATCCACTTCAGCTCAGTGACCTCACGGCTTCATAATTAATTGCACTTACCGTGCTTCAGAAGTCATTCAACACAAACCCAAACCTTCTATACACTCATACATAAAGCCCAGAAATCTAAAACAGTTAACTACAGATTAGTTATCACACTGAACAAATCACTCTACAGAACCCGCAAATGACCAGTTTGGCTAACATCAATCAGCTACCACTAGCACATCATCATCATCAGCCTTGGACCCACCACCATCAACATCATTATCATCACCATCACTCATTTCCACGACATCGTCATCGTCATCAACATCACCAGCAGCAGCAGCAGCTCGACCAAGCGGAGACGAGGACGCAAACTGTCCAAGCAGCAGTTTGGACATGGAGCTTGGGGCGGGAGGAGGATCACCCAAAGCACCTGCCCCACGTGGCCCTGCGCCACCAGTGGCAGCAGCAGAAGCAGCACTACCAGCAGCAGCAGCCATGCTCGTGGTATCCTGCTGAAGTGCCAGCAGTTTGGACATGGAGCATGGGGCAGGAGGAGAATCACTCGACCCACCTGCCCCACTTGGCCCTGCAGCAGCACCAGCGACAGCAGCAGAACCACCAGCAGGAGAAGCAGCAGCCGAGCTCGTGGCGTCCTGCTGAAGTGCCAGGAGTTTTGACATGGAGCTCGGGGTGTCCTGCTGAAGTGCCAGCAGCGTGCACATGGACGGTGCGAGCGGCATGGCATGGCGCGTTGCGGTCGCGGGGCGAGTCGCAGGGCTATCTTGCAATGATGGACGTGGCATGGCATGCCCTGCTGCTCCATCCGGGCTAACTTGTGTAGACAGTGGCGAGGCAAGAGGCTGACTGGATGGGCTATCTTGTGTTAGTGGCCGTGGCGGTGCGGGAGGGTGATTCGAGGGGCTGCCTTGCGGTGAGGCAGTGGCGATATGGGGCTGACCCGAGGGGCTATTTGAGGGGCTATCGTGACCTGTTGACAATTCCTCTTCACCGCATCTCAAGGCCTGCTCCCCTCCGTCTCTGAGCGACTGCTCCTCCTCTCCTTCCGTACCCTGCCCCACTGGAATCTCCGCTATAGCACTCTCCGCTATAGCACTTTGCGCCATCGCAGCTTGCGCCGCAATGCTTTGCGCAATCATACTGTGGGCCCATGGCGGCTGCACATCCTTCTCCCTCGCCCTACGCAGCGCCCTCGTACGCCGTTCCCGCTTGCTCTGACCCGGACCTTGACTTTGGCTCCGCAGAACTCTCTGTTGATACCCGATCGCTACTCCCCACTCTCGCTGTCTGCCCGACACCTGCCTGACTGCTGACGGCTCAGCAGTAGCACCAGCAGCAGGGCCAGTAGCACCACCACCACCATCACCACCAAATTGACCAGTGGAAGCAGCAGCAGCAGCAGCAGAAGCAGCAGCAGCAGCGGCAGTGCGGTGCCTCCTAACCATGGCGGCTTTAACAGCTGCAGCAGCAGCAGCACGGGTCCTGGTGGCAATACCTGTAGGAGCAGCCGTAGCAGCAGGCAAAGCATAGGTGTTAGCCATTGATGATGCAGCACGGAATCCCGCCTTCACAGCTGCACTGGTTCTTCCAGTCACAGCTGTAGCACAGAGTCCTGCCTTTCCGGCCACACCTGTAGCACGGAATCCTGCCTTTCCAGTCGCAGCTGTAGCATAGAATCCAACCTTTAAAGCTGCACGCGTTCGGCCAGTCACGGCTGTAGCACGAAATCCTGCCTTTCCAGTCGCAGCTGTAGCATAGAATCCAACCTTTAAAGCTGCACGGGTTCGGCCAGTCACGGCTGTAGCACGGAATCCTGCCTTGAGAGCAGCACGGGTTCGCCCAGTCACGGCTGTAGCAGAAGGTGCGTCAACATCCGCAGTGGCACCAGCTGCTGCTGCAGCAGCGCGTGTCCACACACCCACAGCTGTAGCAGCAGGCACAGCAGTAGCAGCAGGATCAGCTGTAGGGGCAGAGACAGCTGTAGCAGCAAGCGCATCTGTAGCAGCGGGCAGAGCTGTAGGTGCAGCTGTAGCAGCGGTATAATCAGGAGTGACAAGCTCAACAGTGGTTGCAGGAGCAGGAGCAGTACTGATCACAAGGGCAGGAGCAGCGGTGGGAGCAGCGGTGAGTGCAGCAGCAGGTGCAGCAGCAGGTGCAGCAGCAGGTGCAGCAGCAGGTGCACGGAAGGCAAATGTGGGGGACGATGCGGCTGGGAGGGCGAGAATCACTCCAGACCTGTGGGACGACGGGGAATGCAACCCTTCTGCTGCTACTGTTCCTGGTGCTCTTGCCCCTGGTGCTCCTGCTGCTGGTGCACGCAGAGAAGCAGGCCGATTGAGCCGGTTGGCACTTGGAGTGTATGGGTCAGCAGGCAGATTGGGCCGGCTAGCAGTTAAAGAGTAACGGCCAGCAGGCAGAGTGGATTGGTTAACAGTTGAAGTGTATCGATCAGCAGCAGTGGAAGGCGGATTGGCTGGAACGCGGGCAGCAGAACCGGCAGCGGCACCGGCAGCAGCAGGAGCAGGGGCGTTGTAGTTAGCGCGTCGCCTGAGGACCCTGATCTGACCAGCTGGTTCCCGATCATTCTCAAAGACCCTGGTGTGACCCCATGGAGCAGGCGCAATAGGACGACCAGCAGCAGCAGCAACAGCAGGAGTGGCAGCAGTGGCAGCAGTAGCAGCGGCAGTGGTACCAGCGCCAGCAGCAGGAAAGTTTCTGGAAGAGAAGTTTGAGAGAGGGCCTCTGGGTCCGTGCAGGAAGCTTAGGAGGGAGTTGCGGGATGGGAGCGAGGGAGGGAGAGTGGCGGACGAGGAGGGAGGAGGTGCAGAGGAGCGGGGAGGTGACGGGGGAGGTGAGGTGGGGAGAGGGGGTGAGGTGCAGAGGAGTGGGGGGGGTGCAGCAGAAGGCTGATTAGACCCCCTTGTAGCAGGGATTCGTTGAAGTGAAGCGCGGGTGGCAGCAGCGGGGTGACGGGCAGCAGCAGTAGTAGCAGCAGTGGCAGCAGTGGCAGCAGTGGAAGAGGGAGGAGCAGCAGCAGAGGGGCGGGGAGGCTGCATGCGCGCAGAGTGAGTAGGCTGGTTCGCGAGAGAGGCAATCAGCTGCAGTAGGTCTGGCAGAGCAGCAGCAGGCAGAGCAGCAGCAGCAGCAGCAGCAGCAGCAGCAGCAGCAGCAGCAGCAGCAGCAGCAGCAGCAGCAGCATTACCAGCAGCAGCAGCGGATCGAGAGTGCTGCATTGGCTGCTGAGAATGAGTAGCCCTGGACGCAATCTGCTGCAGCAGAGCAGGAAGAAGAGCAGCTGCTCTCAAGGCACTATGCTCTCAAGGCACTATGCTCTCACCTTCCCACACTGTCCCATCCGTGAATCTGATGTGAACACCGATAGTTACCAAGCCTGGTGCATGCACTTCCCTCTCCAGGCCACTCAGAAGCTGCCGAACCTCTGCATTAGGTCTGGGAAGGAACACACGGGAGAAAGGGAGAAAGGGAGAAAGGGAGGGGGAGTGGATGGCGAAGAACTTGATAAATCTCACCAGTGCAGGGAGGTGCTTCTGGCTCCTGTCTCCTGTCAAAGTAGGAAGTGAACCTGACTGTACAGTGTCCTTCTCACAGGACAGAACAGTGGATATGGCAGGAACTTTCGGACAGGGGTAGGGTGACAGGTGCATGCAGAGAAGTGTGGACACGACTCTACAGTACAGCCTCCATCTCATAGAGATGACTATTCTGATGACCTGGGTGGCATAGTGGAAATGGCAGGAACCGGAAAACTTCACATAAGGGATTTCACTTGAGTCTCACTTGAGTAGGAAGCGCGGGATACAGCCGAGGGCGTACGGTGGGCGCAGTACAGCCCGGTGGCAAAAACCACACCAGCGCTCATAGGATGTTTTGAGTGCTTATGGCATCACTTGAATCTCACTTGAGCAATCTCACTTGAGCAATCTCACTTGAGCAATCTCACTTGAGCAATCTCACTTGAGCAGGAAGCGCAGGATACAGCCGAGGGCATACGGTGGGCGCAGCCCTGTGGCCCAGAGGGAAAATGCGGCTGGAAGCCGGCTGTTTGCCTAGCCAGATATCTGGCCTTTGCAGTCTCACTTGTGTCTTACTTGAGCAGGAAGCGCAGGATACAGCCGAGGGCGTACGGTGGGCGCAACTCAAAACTAGCCTCAGAAACTGACAAATTGCGTGTCATCCACCATTGCGTGTGTCCAGCATGTGATGAGTCGATTTTTAATTTTGAGTCGACTCAAAAATCGACTTATCACACGTGTGTCCAGCATCGGCACATCATCATCCTTTGAGAAGTCTCAAAAGTCGTGTCATCCACCATTGCGTGTGTCCAGCATCCAGCATCGGCACATCATCCGACCCACGCCCATCTCTGCTGCTTCTCTCTGCTCCTATCGCCGTTACACCCAAGCACAATCATGCACCCACCTGCACGCTCCCGAACTGCGTGTCTCGGATGTCCAGCATCGGCACGTCATCCACGCCCATCTATTTGAATGAACACACCTCCGCTGCTGTTTCTGTGCATGTGCTCCAACAACCAGTCTATCACCTCTACAACCACACGCACAGTCACAAACACCCACCTGCACGCTCCCGAACTGTGTGTCTCGTATGTCAAGCATCGGCACGTCATCCACGCCCATCTCCTTTGTTTCCGGGCTGCCTGCAATCACCGACTCCGTCGAGATTTTCCGGGCAGGTTCGAGCAGAATTTCATCAGCGGGTCCATCTGCCCCTGTGTCATCATTGCCAACATGTATTTCCGCTTCTGCTCCGAGGAAGTCAGCTGATCCAGGTTCGGCAAATCCAGGTTCGGCCGAACCAGGACTGGTCGATTCAGGTTAGGCGGATTCAGGGTCGTCTGAACCAAAGCTCGCCGATCCTGGTTGGTTGTCGCCGCCACCAGATGCTGATGTGGACGGGAATCTCCAGTCCATAAGGTTCGGCTCAAAGGCGAACGGCAGGCAGCGGTGACGAATCAGCAGCACGCGGCCGTCCAATAGCGCGACGACAAATGTAGAGGCGAGACCCAGGAGCGTGTCCCCCAGACCGCCGCAGCCATGGTACCACTCGTAGGTGAGGAAGCGGGGGAAGGCGGAGGGGGAAGGGGAGGGGGAGGGGGAGGGGGAAGGGGAGGCGGAGGGGGATGGGGAGGGGAAAGGGGGAGGGGAGGAGGATGGGGGGGGAGAGGTGGAGGGAGAAGGAAGGGAGCCTGGGGATGGAGCTTGGGATGGGGGTGAGAGAAGGGGGTTTGATGATGGATGAGAGGATGAATCTTCGTGACTGTTAATCCCTCTGCTCCCGGCCCTGCCTGCTCTTTCGTGGCTGCTTTGTCTGTTTGCTGCTCGAATTCGCTCGTGTAAGGCGATGTACTCGTTATGCCATGACCCGCAAAGCGCTTCAGGGTAGCCGAAATGAAGGTCAGACGTGGACCGCGAATGTTCTCCAGAGGCTGTGACTTCCAAAGACGCTAAAACGAGAACTATTGTAGCGAAACATGCTTTCGCCCATGGCCGAGAGGCGATTCGTCGCGATTGGTCGCTGCATGCAAGCATCCTGACGACTGGCAATCCTGCCGGCTAGCCGTTCCCTCACCCGACAAGGCTTTCACTCTCGGGAAACTGAATGTGGTATACCTGGTTGACGGTTCAAACGCTGATGAATTGAAGGAGCAGGATCGAGGGATTCGGCTTTTTCACCAGTACCTTATAAGAGCGCATCAGCCTCGCCATCCTCACTTCCCCCCTTCAATCCGCCGAAACCACTAAGATGCTCGTAAGGGCGTGTAAGGATCCACGGATTCTAAAGTTCAACAACGAATCACTTGGGAATGCCGAGCACCCTCTAGTGAGTTCGCTGCAAACACGTAGGAACCCATGAGGAATCTTTCACTATTGCCATGTAAAAGTGGGTGAGCTTTACAAGGGGCTGTGCTGAAGTGATCGTTTGAACGCGGCAAAACAAACGGGTACTTAAAAACATTTATCTACAATTTTCAATAAAATGCATGATGTAGATCTCATAAAAGCCGCGTTAGTTTATTCTATATCTGGCTGGTATGGTATCCGTTTATGTATTCCCTGCTATTGATGTCACTAAGAGGGCTTCTATACACGCTATGCGGTGCAATCGAAACGGGAATACAGTGCCGCATCAGCCTGGTTTTCAGACCACGCGTCTCCTCCACGCCACGCTGGCCAATCTCAGACCAAATCCGGACGACTAGGTTGAATGAACGAGCCGCGGCGGACTCTCCGCAGCTTCCTCGGCACTCCAATCCCCCGCTTCCGCGCAGACTTTCAAGAAATTGTTAGCTCGCGCGGACAAACCAACCAGTCAGGCTGTCGTGCTGACCAATTCCGCGCTCGCTTATGCCTGCTCATATGCAAGTCAGAATTTATCCCTAAACCGTCTCACCGTTCTGTAACCAGACCAACCGTCATTTGTTTTACCCAACCCCATATTTCCCATTCCACACCCCTCAGAACCATGCCCGAGTCTGCGCCTGCTTTTCCAGCACAGGGTTCGTCCCCGTAAACAGTGAGCAATGGGGAAGTCCGTCAATTCTTCTCCAGTGCGCATCACGCGCAACATTCCGCCTTCTTGCGCACGCCCAGTATCCGTCCTCCCCACCCCACCCCACCCCCAACTCCATTCGCTTTCATCGCATCCTTCCTTTTCCTCCTTTTCCCCTCCCCTCCCTTTTTCCACCACCTCACCCACACATCCTGCTGTGTTTCTGTTACTGCATGCTCCTGTATTTGAGCAAGTCATACTGTGAGGTAGAATCTGATACTGGGTCGCTGTAAAATACCCACCGCCTCAAGAAGAGCTGTTAGCAGCATTCCGTAGCATTTTTCAGCGTCATCTATCGCCTAAACAATATCTAGTTCTTTCTTTTATCCCTGCGCGTTTAGTTTGTAGCACGTCACAAGATCCTAGGGTTTCCGTTTCCAGCCAGGACCTTTCTTTTTCTTCAAAACCGGAATCTTCAATTATAGCGCCAATACGATACGATAGCAACATTAATTAAATTTGCTTACAATCTTGACAGAAGTGTTTTCCAAGTTCGGCCCTTTTTTGTTTCCGCCGAAAGAGCAATTTGCATCCATCGCGGAAAAGTCCATCGCGGATTTTGAGCGTCCGTAGTGCATCTGAAGTATATAATAGCTGGCACTTACCGTAATAGACACCACCGTGTTTCACCGGAAGATGGCGCGGTCGACGCGAGTATCGAGTTCGGCGCGAGCTCTCCGCTTCGCGATTCTCCTCCTCTGCTCCTCCCTTCTCGTCACCTCCGCTACTTCAGCAAGTTCTGCTTCGACGAAACTTCACGAATCCCAACGTACGCGCATGCGCTCAAATCCCGCTATGCGCGGAATTTGAATTATCACTTGCGTTCTGGGCACGTTATAAGAAGTATCTGTTTTAGAAGCCGGCCAAGCGATTGTACGTAGTGGCGCCAGGGACAGCGCAACCACTGGAGCGGTCCCATCAAAGCGTTTCCGCATTTTTCAGTTACTGAAATCTGAACTCTCCCCTCCTCCCCTCCCCTCACGTCCACAGTGCGGCCGCTCCAGGCGCTGAGCAAGGCGTGGCGACTACCGGCGTTTGCCCCCCCTTCACTCCCCACTCTCCCTCCGTTCACTCCCCCCTCCCCCCCCGTCTTCCCCCTCTTCCCACCTCTTCCTCCGCCCGCAGTGCGGCCGCTACAGGCGCTGAGCAAGGTGGCGTGGCGGCTTCCGCCGTTTGCTCTGCTTTTCACTGAGTTCGTTACCCCCTCCTTCAAGTTTTCCTCTGCCCCCTCCCTCTCCGGTTTCCCCCTCCCCTCTTCCTCCCCCGCCGGGGCCGCCCCCAGTGCGGCCGCTCCAGGCGCTGAGCAAGGCGTGGCGGCTACTAGCGTTCGCTCCGCCTTTCACAAAACTTATTTTCTCTCCCTTCGGTCCCCCATCTACCCCACTCCTTCCCCGGTTCCTCCCTCTTCCTCCCCCACACCCCCTCAGTGCGGCCGCTACAGGCGCTGAGCAAGGCATTGCGTCTTCCTCCGTTTGCGCAGTGTGACTTACGGGCTGGCCTTACGTGCGACGATAAGGGCATGGTGACGCGCATGTGAGTAACTGAGCAGAGCCGTGTGATCAAGCGGGCATGCGAGAGCAGGCATGCGAGAGCGGGCATGCGAGAGCGGGCATGCGAGAGCGAGCACGTGAGTAGTAATGGTCGTGAGAAATATGCGAGCATCCTTTGCCGTCCTCTTGTCAAGTTTACATTTTTACATTTTTGTTTGTCCCTCACACTCTCTCGCTCTCTCCCTCTTTCTATCACCTCCCCAATCCTTCCCGTGTCCCCCCTGCAGCAACCTAGCCAGTCGCAACCTCACAGGAGTCATCCCCAAAGCGATCTCCGCTTTTGCCAGCCTCACTAACCTGTAAGGCCGCAGCAACCAGCTTTCCCGTTACCCCCTTTCTCCACAACTGCCTTTCATTGAGATCACGGTTATACAGTAATCGTGGCTTTCTTGTTACATAATCAGTGTTACAGAATCAGTATCCCCTTCCATCCCCCAAACCACCCCCCCTCACCCTTTCTCCTCCTCCTCCCCTTCTTCCCCACCTCTTCTCCCCTCTTACTTTTCTGTCCCCTTCCCCTCCCCCTGTGCGTGTGTGCGTCCAGGTCGCTACACGACAACCACCTGCACGGCCCCCTGCCCGATCTGGGGAAGCTGACGCTGCTGAGAGAACTGTGAGTGGCATCGGGATGGAATGAGGTGGAATGAGGTGGAGTGGGGTGGAATGGGGTGGAATAGGTCCAGCTTGCTGCCCAACAACCACCTGCACGGCCCTCTGCCCGACCTGGGGAAGCTGACGCTGCTGAGTGAACTGTGAGTGACATGGGGCGGAATGGGGTGGAGTGAGGTGGTATGGTGTGGCATGGGGCGGCATGGAGTGGCGTATGGTGGCATGGGGTGGCATGGGGCGGCATGGGTTGGCATGGGGTGGAGTGAGGTGGCATGGTGTGGCATGGGGCGGCATGGGGTGTCGTATGGTGGCATGGGGTGGCATGAGCTGTACGTATACCTCCTCCCACCCGTGATCGTCCCACCAATGCATGCATCATCCGTGCATCCATGGTTGCTTGCAGGTACCTGCACGGCAACAATCTGACGGGTGCCATCCCAGCTTCCTTTGGCCTCCTCCCCAACCTCGAAGCTCTGTGAGTCATCATGCTTCACCTTTCTCCATCTTCAACCTTCCTACTCCCATCCTGCTTCACTCCACACCTTGTCCCTGCCATGCCACTCCCTTCCTACTCCCGTCCACCGCTTACCCCATCCCCCCCCACTCGCCCCCACCACCATGTGTCCTCCTGACTGCCCCGCCATGTCATGCAGCAATCTCGGCGAGAACGCCCTGTCAGTGTTTTCTAGTCGACCCACTCAACCACCCCCCCTCTCTCCTCCACCACCATTTGCCTTCCTGAACGCCCTACCATGCCATGCAGCAATCTCGGCGAGAACGCCCTATCAGGCCGCATCCCCTTGCAGCTCGGCAATCTCAAGGCGCTCATCCTCCTGTAAGCCTCTTAGACCCTATGTGCTCGGCAATCTCAAGCCCTCTCGTTCTCCTGTCAGCATGCAAGGAGGCTGTCATCTTTGCTAATAAACGTCGACCAATCGTTGCTCCTCTTTGTTGTCAGGCAGCTCTTTCCTCCATACGACCCGCATTTTCCCACCCACTTTTGCCAACCCTCTCTTTCCGACCCTCTTTTTCCGACCCTCATTTTCCGACCCTCTTTTTCCGACCCTCTTTTTCCGACCCACTTTTTCCGACCCTCTTTTTCCGACCCTCTTTTTCCGACCCACTTTTTCCGACCCACTTTTTCCGACCCACTTTTTCCGACCCTCTTCCAACGTCCATGACTGCAGCAACCTCAACAGCAACCGTCTTGTTGGGAAGATCCCTGAAACTCTCGGAAAGCTTTCCAATCTACAGCACCTGTGAGTTTCTGCACCCACCCCCACCCCTCTAGATCCCACCCCTTCACCCCTTTCTTCCTCTCTCCCACTCTCTTCGTTCAGAACTGCTCGTGCCAAATGACTGCACCTCCACACCCATCTTCACCCCTCCATCTACCTCTTTCCATCTCTGCTCTTCCGGTACATCTCCGCAGGGAGCTAGGAGGCAATGCACTCACAGAGCCTATTCCAGAATCGCTCACAGATGCACTCACACCCATCTCCACCCACCTCCACCCATCTCCACCCATCTCCATCTACCCTGTCGTCCCTACAGGGAGCTAGGAGGCAATGCGCTCACAGGGCCGATCCCGGATTCGTTTGCGGCGCTTACAAACCTGCTCACACTGTAAGAATTGAACTGCACGCCACCGCACCGCTCTGCACTGCACTGCACTGCACTGCACTCGTGCCTGCATGCGTGCCTGCCAGTCAGCATGAGCTGTTCTACTCTACATACCGTTGTCTTCCACGCTCTCCATCCGGTTCCCCATCCAGCTTGGATGATCCGGTGTTCAAGCCGGATGGGGAACCAGATGGAGGGTGTAGAAGACATCCGGTGTTCACCCTCCCTTCTCCTCTTGCATGCAGCGACCTGAGTCCCAACCAGCTCTCTGGCCCCATCCCATGTTGTCACAGTTTTTTTCTGGGAATTCTCAAGAGTGCTCCTTTTCTTCTCCCTCCCTCCCGCACATCTCCTTCTGCGTGCAGTGACCTGAGCCCGAACCAGCTATCTGGCCCCATCCCACCTGTCATCGGTGCACTCAGGAAGCTCAGATGGATGTGAGTGGTGGGGATGGGTGATGATGGTTGATGGTGGGTGATGGGTGATGGTGGATGGTGCTGTTCTGGCTGCATTCACGAGTAACCATCATCGTAACTAATCTTCCTCTCCACCCGCCATCACCACCTTCTGCTTTCTGCAGGTACCTGTCGGGGAATCAAATCAGCGGCAGTCTGCCGCCCGCAATTGGAGACCTACATGACCTGGAGCACCTGTAAGCCGTACCATTATGTCACAGCAGTGTGTGTGTGTGTGTGTGTGTGTGTGTGTGTGTGTGTGTGTGTGTGTGTGTGTGTGTGTGTGTGTGTGTGTGTGTGTGTGAGCTTCTCATGTTTATTAGTGTTTTTATCGATTCCCCGCGTGTGAGCTTCTCATGTTGTTCCTGTCGCCTCATCTGCATGCCACTTCTGCTGCTTGTGCCACGTGTGCAGGTGGATTGAGGACAACAAACTCACCGGCCCACTCCCAGCCGAGATCGGCAACTGCACGAGCCTGCAGATACTGTGAGCACCCTGACTCATAATTCGAAGAGCTGCAGTACGTGATGTTGACGCTTTAGCAACAGGATCAACAGCTAAAACAAGCAGCGAAAAAAGTGGATCTCAAAAACCCTTAGTCTCGAAAAGGCCTCCTTGCGTATACTGCACGAGCCTGCAGATACTGTGAGCATCCAATCAGATCAGAACATGTGTACATGTTTGACTAAAAAACTGGACTAGCCTCTTATTTGATGTCTCCTCGTACTTGTGACCTCTCACCTTTTTCAACCCATTCTCACCTTCTCCCCCTTCCCTCCGCGCACCAAACCATATCTTTCATCTCCTCCTCTCCCCCAACCCCAAACCCCCTTTACTCCGCCTCCCCATACCAGCTACCTATCCAACAACAACATCATCCGCAGTGTACCGGACAGTATAGGCCACCTGCAGGCTCTTGAGTCGACTCAAAAGTTCAACCGTCCCTCTCCTTCCCCCCCCCCTCCCCATACCAGCTACCTATCCAACAACAACATCAGCGGCAGTGTACCGGACAGCATAGGCCGCCTGAGTTCCGTGCGAGACATGTGAGTGTGGGGTGAAGGGGAAGGGTGGGATGGGTGGGAATGGGTGGGAATGGGTGGGAATGGGTGGGAATGGGTGGGAATGGGTGGGAATGGTTGGGAATGATTCCTTTGTTTCTGAAGAGTCAGCACCCTTCCATCTTCTTGTCTCTTCTCTCTGCATCTCCTTAGCGCTGTTTATCCTTTTGCCTTCTCTCTTCCGTCCCCTCCCTTAACATTCTCCCTTGAGTTTCTTTTTCTGTTCCTCCTGCGCTGCGCCAATCCAGGCGGCTGGATCAAAACATGCTCTCAGGCGCCCTCCCACCATCCATTGGCGCCCTCTCCAATCTCACTGTTCTGTGAGTCTGCATTCTACTACCCACCCAGCACTCTGCAACCTACCCACCCAGCACTCTGCAACCTACCCACCCTGCACTCTGCAACCTACCCACCCTGCACTCTGCAACCTACCCACCCTGCACTCTGCAACCTACCCACCCTGCACTCTGCAACCTACCCACCCTGCACTCTGCATTCTACCCACCCTGCACTCTGCAATGCCTCGCCCATGCTCTTGCCCCCTGCTCCCTTTTCTCGCCCTGCTGTTTTTTCTTTCCCTCCTCCCCTCACTCACCTCTCCCGTCCCACCACCCCTACCCTTTCTCCCAGAAATTCTGCACTTCAACCAGCTCTCAGGAGCCCTCCCGGCCACTCAGGGACAGCTCTCCCTCCTCCCTCAGCTCACCCTTTTCTCCCTGCTCTCTCTTTTCTTCCTGCTCTCCTTTCTTGCCCCCCACCCCCCTCCCCTCTCTCGCAGCGAGCTGCACTACAACCAGCTCTCAGGAGCCCTACCACCCACTCTGGGACAGCTCTTCCTCCTCAAAACGCTGTACGTTGATCGCAGATACACCAGTAAGGCACGGCCTCAGTTATACTTTCTCTCAAATAGTCTCTAAAATCACAGTGTTTGCGCTTCACAGCCTTTTTTGTTGCGGCTTACAGCCCTCAGCTTCTCTCCCTCTCCCCAATCCACAGAACCATCAACGCTACAGCGCTGCCCTCAGCTTCTCTCCCTCCCTCTCTTCCCCTTCCCGCCCTCTCCCTCTCCCCAACCCACAGAACCATCAACGCTACAGCGCAGCCCTGCCCCCTCTCCTCGTCCCTCTGCCAAGTCACCCAGTCCGCCTCCTCCTCCTCCTTGTTCTTACCCTTTCCCCTTCTCTTTCACCCTTTCCCTTTTTTCCATCCCACAGGACCATCAACTCCACAGCCCAGCCGTGCCCCGCCTCTTCGTCCCTGTGCCAAGTCACCCAGACCGCCTCCTCCCCCTTCTGTCAGCTCTGCCCCGAGTTCTGCGCCTCCTGCCAGCCCCCTCAGGGGGGTGATGGCAGTGGGGGCGATGGCAGTGGTGGCAGCGGCGGGCCGAGCACGGGAGCAATCATTGCGGTGGTGTGCGGTTCTCTGCTCCTGCTCACGGCTGTGCTTGTGGCCTTCCTCGTCTGGTGCTGCTGTCGGCCAGGCCAATCCCCCTTCAAGCACGTCAAAGTCGTGGGTGAGTCTTCCCTTTGAGTGTTCCCTTCCTTCCCTGATGTAACGCTACGCAACGACTCTTTCCTATTGTGGTGTGGTATGGTATTGAGGTGAAAAGAACGTCAGGGTCTCTCTCGGGTCTCATCTCACCAACATTGTGGAGTCTTCTCTTCAAGCACGTCAAAGTCGTCTCGGGTCTCGCTGTGCTGCCGCTACTCCCTGGTGGAGATCCGTCCAGCCACCAACAACTGGAGCGAGGAGAACCGCATAGATAGGCAGTCACTTGCTCCCTCTCCCTCCGTTTCATTCGCCCTCCTTCCTTCCCCCCCGCCACCACTGCAGACCAGGAGGAATTCGATGATGCTGGGCTCATTCCCTCCCTCTGTTGCCGCTACTCTCTGGTTGAAATCCGCCGCGCCACCAACAACTGGAGCGAGGAGAACCGCATAGGCAGCGGGCAGCACAGCGACGTGTACAAGGGCACGTGCCCGTACAACCCCGCCAGCACGTGGGCTGTGAAGCGATACAAGGAGCGGTCGAAGAACTTCGAGAAGGAGGTGAGTTGGGAACGGCATAACCTGGTTACCGGGGGGATACAGAAGGGATGTTAGCTGGATAGACAGTGGGGAGGACAGAAACGTGTTGAAGGGCATAGCCTGGTTACCAGGGGAGGTACAGCAGGGTTATTAGCTGGATAGGCAGCGGGCAGCACAGCGACGTGTACAAGGGCACGTGCCCGTACAACCCCGCCTGCACGTGGGCTGTGAAGCGCTACAAGGAACGGTCGAACCACTTCGAGAAGGAGGTGAGCTGGGAAGGAGGCGAATGTCTGGTGGTTTGCGTTTGTAGTTGTGGTGGTGGCACTGGCAAGGGCATCCCAACCTGGCGCACCTGCTGGGGTACTGTGTGGACTCAGATCAGACACGCGAGTGGAGGGCGGCAGGATGGTGCAGGTGGAGGAGCAGATCAGCCCACTCACTCCTGTGCTTGCTCCCTCATTCCCTTTCCACTACCCCCACTCAAACCACACCAGGTGGAGCAGATAGCGAGCAAGTGGCATCCCAACCTGGCGCACCTGTTGGGTTACTGCGTCGACTCGGACACGCGAGTGGAGGGCGGTAGGATGGTGCAGGTGCAGGAGCAGATCAGCCCACTCACTCCTGTGCTTGCTCCCTCATGCCCTGTCCACCACCCCGCTTCAACCCCAACCAGGTGGAGCAGATAGCGAGCAAGTGGCATCCCAATCTCGCCCACCTGCTGGGCTACTGTGTGGACTCGGACACGCGAGTGGAGGGCGGCAGGATGGTGCAGGTGGAGGAGCAGATCGCAGTGTATGAATACGTGCACCACGGGGACCTCAGCCGCTACCTCTACCAGGGTGAGTCACTACCTTTGCCAAGGTGCGCCATCTGTGTGACCTGCCATGCCAGTGCAGCAACTGCTGCAAGGGAAGGCATGGTGCAGGTGGAGGAGCAGATGGCAGTGTATGAATACGTGCACCATGGGGACCTCAGCCACTACTTGTATCAAGGTGAGTTGCTACTACTACTATCACTTGTATGCAATGTGTCCCCACTGCTGTGGGCGTCCTTTGCCCTGTGGGAGCGGGTAGACATATTAATCAGCATGGTGCACGGCGTGCAGTGCCTGCACTCGGTGGGCATGGTGCATGGGGATCTCAAGCCCGCCAACACGCCCTCTCCCTCCCCTCTCACTTCTCCCTCCCTTTCCTGATCTCCCTCTCCTCCCCAAACCCCTCCACCGACCCCTCCCCCTGCCCCTCCCCTCCCCCTATCCCACCTAACAGAGACGTTCCGGGCGTCCTTTGCCCTGTGGGAGCGGGTAGATATTCTAATCGGCATGGCGCACGGGGTGCAGTATCTGCACTCGGTGGGCATGGTGCATGGGGACCTCAAGCCCGCCAACATCCTCATCGACAAGAGCTGGCAGGCCAAGGTGGCCAACTACGGGCTGCTGCAGCGGAATGAAACCAGCGCTGTCAACGCCGGCCGGCTGTTCGGCACACCGGGATACGTCGACCCAGTGTATTTGACCTCTCACATTGCCACCAAGGCCTCTGATGTGTTCAGGTGAGAGCTCTGATGTGTTCAGGTGAGGCAGAGGTAGAAGGCGGGCTGTCTGTCTGTGTGTAAGGGGGTGACTTTTGAGTCGACTCAAAAGTCACCTCCTTCAGGTGAGAGCTCTGATGTGTTCAGGTGAGGCAGAGGTAGAAGGCGGGCTGTCTGTCTGTGTGTAAGGGGGTGACTTTTGACTCGACTCAAAAGTCACCTCCTTCAGGTGAGAGCTCTGATGTGTTCAGGTGAGGCAGAGGTAGAAGGCGGGCTGTCTGTCTGTGTGTAAGGGGGTGACTTTTGACTCGACTCAAAAGTCACCTCCTTCAGGTGAGAGCTCTGATGTGTTCAGGTGAGGCAGAGGTAGAAGTCGGACTGAGGTAGAAGTCGGACTGTCTGTCTGTGTGTGTGTAAGGGTCACTTGCTGGTGGGCCTTGGCCTACTCATGCGGTTTGGGTGCTGTATGCTTCCACTGGATGCATCCTCAACTCCTCCGTCAGCCATTGAGACTTAGGCGAGCAGCAGTTAGAAAGATACTTTTGAGACGTCTCAAAAGTCGTCTACTTACACAAGGCCTTGGCCTACTCATGCGGTTTGGGTGCTGTATGCTTCCATTGGATGCATCCTCAACTCCTCCTCCCCCTCCCTCGCCCCTTTGTCACGCCTTGCAGCTTCGGGGTCATATTCCTGGAGCTGCTCACGGGGCGGCCGCCATTCATCCAAGTGCAGGCGGAGCATGGGGAGGACCACGAGCACATCGCAGACTGGGTGAGTGCTGCTGGGGTTGACTGGGCTGTTCACTGGAGGATATAGGGCTGTTTACTGGGCTAGAGATTCTGAGCATTGGGTGGAAAATACTGGGGGCATAGGAAGGCCACGTGCACATTGCAGACTGGGAGGGCGCTGCTGCTGGAGCTGGAGTTCCCGAGTCGTCCTTCCTCTCCCTGGCTGAGCTCGCCATGCGCTGCACCGCCATGCCATTCACCGACCGCCCGCCCTTTCTAGCTGTCTCCCCTACTCACGTCTCCCCTGCTTTTCACTTCCCCCCCTACCAGGCGGCACCGCTCATAGATGAGGGCAAGACAGACGAGTTGAAAGACCCCCATCTCGACGTGCCCGAGTCCTCCTTCCTCTCCCTTGCGGAGCTCGCCATTCGCTGCACCGCCATGCCCTTCACCGACCGCCCACCCATGGGGGAGGTGCTGGCCACGCTCAAGGCCATTCGCACCGACTTTTTCGGGCTCACGGACCCGGATGATGTTTATGGAGGGGAGGGGAGTGGTGGTGTGGAGAATGGGTTCAGTGGTGATAGTGGTGATGGTGATGGTCGGGGGGGTTGGGGTGTTTCGGTTAATAATGTGTGATATGGCTAGGGTTATCTTACGGTGTATGTTTCTGTATGGCGCTGTGTGTTTTGGTGTTTTGTTTCTTGGTATGTATGAAAGCGGTGTGCTCTGTGCTGCCAATAATGTCGAACACATGAGAAAGCGGTGGTTCAAAACCATCCTACTAACCGGGTAATCAACAGGTACACCCAGACGCAGTTTTAGGTGGGAAGGAAAGAACTTCTTAAGACAATTACACCTGAACTGAGGATTTAGCACTCATGCATGCAATGGGCTGCACATTACAGGTCAAAGTAATAGAGTACACTTTGAATAAAAATCTGTAGAAAATGTATTTGTCTAGCAGTAGGATCAGTGAATTTGCAAGAGTAATGGATTACTGTGTATAGCATCCGCGCTTGCTGCAGTCAACGAAGTCCGCGACACAAGCCCCGCTGGCGAATCTCACATGCCAGCATGATAGAGGAAGCGAGCTGGCAAAAGGCCTACTGTACCAGGAAACTTTTCCGTTGGAGGTGCGGTGAAACCAGGAACCGTATGGGGGGAGTACGAACAAACGGATTCTTTTTGCTCTGTTTGGTTTGGAGGTCTCGTGGTGCTCAATACCGTACCCAGCCGTTCTAGATTGTTATTTAAAAGCGGTGAAACGTATAGCATCTCACTGAGCTGCATTTGAACGTACCTCAGTAGGACACCCCCTTTTTTCCTTCGAGCACGTGACACGTCCGCTTGTCAGAAGCATCTGGCAATGCTCACGCACTTTTAGGTCGTACTACAAACTTTTAGGAGCTCACGCACTAACGTCAACGCACAAGCCAGCTATTTAAGTTTTCCTATCTTTGAGACCTACTACACCGTACAGAACCACTTAGAAAGAGTCTTCGTACCGCTATGTGCCGCTAATAAACTCAAACCCTTTCCGAACGCGTCGAGTCGCGGCTCCGCCGCGGCCTCATCATCTTTCGCTGTCTCCGCGATGGCGACGAATCGCGAATGGCCGACGGTGGCGGTGCTTCTTCTGTGCAGCATGCTGACGTCATGGGGAGCGCTGACCGCTCCGGCGCAGGGACAGACGATTGACAAAAGCCAGTGTGAGTGTAACGGGAGACCTCGGGTCGTGCAACCAACACGGCAAGTAGGGGGACTTGTTTTTGAAGCCGGAGTCGTCATGGTCCTTTTTAAGTCATCACGAGCTAGTTGAGCCATCATGAGCCATCATGAGCCATCTTAAGCCATCATGACTCATGATGACTTAAGATGGCTCATGATGGGAGTACATGGTCATTTTTTTAAGTCATCACGAGCCAGTTGAGCCATCATGAGTCATCATAAGCCACCTTGAGTCATCATAAATGGGTATGATGGGAGACTTCAGGTCGTGCAGCCAACGCGGCAAGTAGAGGGTCCTTGTTTTTGAAGCCAGAGTCATCTTGAGTCATCTTGATTCATCTTGAGTCATCTTGATTCAACTTGAGTTCATAGGAGTCATCTGGAGTTATCATAAGTCAGTTTGAGTCATCATGAGTCATCTTGATTCATCGTTGGTCCTCTTGACACATCATGATCCATCATGACTCATCTTGACTCCTCCTGACTCATCTTGACTCATCACGAGTCATCACTAGTCACCGTGTGCCACTGGCACGGCACGACACGACCCACCCCAATGTGTTCCCTTACTAGCTTAGTACACTGTGCACCCTCCCACTCCTCGCCCACCTTTCCCCGCAACGTCTTTCCTCCCATCTCCCCCCCAATATCTCCCAATCTACTCCCCCCAACTCCCCTCCCCCCCCCCCCTCCCTTACCCCAATTCCCCCACCCTTCTTTCTCCCTTTCCTTCATCCCCCCCCCCCCACCCTCCCCCCACCCCCACACTCTCCTCCATCCAGCCTGCCCCACGGCACATGACGTCAGTGCAAGCATTATGGGACATGCAGACGTCATGGGGGGTCACTTTCGACCAATGGGACACCAACGGAGACTGCAGCATTGCCTACAACATATCATGCAATGCTAAGGGCATGGTGACGTGGATGTACGTGATGCTGACGTGGCGTGCTGTGAACGACGCGGCATGAGGCCCCACACATGGCCCATCACGCCCATTCCGTCAATCACATCCTGCCCTTTCCCGTTCTCCCCTTTTTGAGTCGACTAAAAAAGTCAATCACATCCTGCCTTTTTCCGTTCTCCCTGCAACTTCCCTCGCTGCACCTTCCACCCACCACCCACCACTTACCCCACCTACAGCCCACTTACACCTGCTGCCGCTGCCCCTCGCCTGCCCCCCACCTGCCCCCCACCTGACCGCGCTGCAGAGAGCTCACGGGGCTGAATCTGGGAGGACCGCTGCCTGCCACCATTGGTGACCTGGTGGCTCTTTCGCACCTGTGAGCTCTGCTCTGCTGCATTCTGCATTCTGCATTCTGCATGCTGCATTCTGCATTCTGCTTTCTGCATGCTGCATTCTGCATTCTGCTTTCTGCTTGTGCTCTTAAAGCCCCACTTAAGTCACCACCACCATTAATATTCTGGTAACCCTTTCGCACCTGTCAGCGCCGCCGCCGCCACCGCTGCTGCAAATGATTGTGGCTGCTGCTTGCTGATTGATGTTGCACATCCACCATTGCCCATTGATGGCTGGCTCGCTTGCTTGTTGCATGATGGTGGTGTGGTGGCAGGACGTTGGATAATAACGGCATCACAGGCCCCATCCCATCCACCATTGGTCAGCTCACTGCTCTCACCTGGTTGTGAGTGTCTTTTCTTGTTACTGAGTGCAAATAACAAGTTTCGTTCGAGTGCTATTACCAAGGGTTGTGAGCACTGGTGGTACGGTACCGTGTGTGGTGCATCCATCCACCCACCCATCCGTGATATCCGTCCCATCCACCATTGGCCAGCTCACTGCCCTCACCTGGTAGTGCGTGCTGATAGCTTACGACCTGCGATTAGCTGTGCTGCTAGTAATTGGTGAATCGGTGGTGGCTGTGTGTGAGTGATGAGCCGTGAATCGATGGACTGAATGTGTGAGTACAATGAAAAGACGCTGTGCTGTGTAGCTTTTGGTCGCGATCTTGTTTCTTTTGTTCCTACCTACTCAACGTTCTAATCATTTCCCCTGTCCCCGCACCTACTCGATGTTATATTCCCCATCCCTCTCCCCCCGCTTCAGTTCCATGGTTCGCAACAGCCGCTTTACTTCCTATCTTTCTCAGCTTAATTCCCCATCCCCCTCTCCACCCATCAGCTCCATGGCTCGCAACAGCCTCACTGGCAGCTTCCCCAAGACCTTCACCAAACTGGCCAATCTGAGAGACTTGTGAGTCAAGCCAAGTCATTTCAAGTCAAGTCAACGCAAGTCAACTCAAGTCAAGTCAACGCAAGGCAAGTCAAGTCAGCGCAAGTCAAATGAAGTCAACGCCAGTCGACTCAAGTCATGCGTTCACGTGTCTCTTTAGTCGGCTCAGCAGCAGTCACTTCGTGACAAGGGCACACCAACCTTGTCAACCTGAGGGACGTGTGAGTCAACTCAAGTCAACTCACCTCTATTTTCCCCTCTTTCTTTCCCTCTCTCCGCGCCTCTCTCCCCACTTCTCTCTCGTGCACCCTCTCCTCGCCCCTCTACTCTCCTCTCCTCTCTCCTCCCATCTCTCCTCCCCTCTCTCCTCGCTCGATCCCCCATCGCAGCTCCCTGTATACCAACCAACTCAGCGCCTCCCTTCCCACCTCTCATCCCCTCTCCCAATTCTCTTTTCCCCTCTCGTAATCCTTCCCTCCCCTCTCTCGTTTCTCCACTCCCCTCTCGACCCCCTTCGCAGCTCCCTCTATACCAACCAGCTCAGCGGCCCTCTTCCCGACTTTAGTCTCTTCCCCAAGCTGCTCCAATGGTGCAAATCCTTGCTTCAATCCAACCCAACTATATCCAAACATTATTTTGTCGAGTCGACTCAAATACCAGCTCAGCGGCCCTCTTCCCTACTCCAGTCTCTTCCCCAAGCCGCTCCAATGGTGTGAATTCTTCCTTCCAACCCAATCAGGGCACTGACTCTGCAAGACGAACGAACCATGTCCAAATACGATTTGTCCAACCGAATCAAATCTCCAATGTGATTGGAGGCCTCAGCAGCTGGCTGATTCCCTTTCATGATATTCTTCACTCTCTGCTTCGAGTTTTGAGTCGACTCAACACTCCAAAGTGATTGGGAGGCCTCAGCTGACTGATTCCCTTTAGCAGACTCTGCAATCTCCCTTCCGTCTCTTCCAACTTGTTCCTGCCACTCAACAGTCACGATGCTGTACTCACACATGCACAAGCATTCATTAATCAAATACTTCTGTGCACATGTGCTTGTAACGGGCGTGCCTATGGCAGGGGCCCATCGAGCAACAGCCTAACAGGTGACCTTTGGGTCGACTCAAAGGTCGCGACGCTGTACTACTCACACATGCACAAGCATTTACTGATCACATACCTATGTGCACATGTGCGTGTAACGGGTGTGCCTATGGCAGGGGGTCATCGGGCAACAACCTAACAGGGCTGATACCATCACGTATTGGCGCCTGCACAGAAATGATAGCCCTGTGGGTGACGTGAGGTAACCTATGGTACTGTTCGGTAGTCTACGGTAATGTGCGGTAGTTTACGGTAATGTGCGGTAGTCTACGGTAATGTGCGGTAGTCTACGGTAATGTGCGGTAGTCTATGGTAATGTGTGGTGTCCTACCGTAGTGTGCGATAGTCTACGGTAATGTGTGGTGCCCTAAGATTATGTGCGGTAGCATATGGTCATGTGTGGTTTTCCACGGTTATGTGCGGTAGCCTATGGTCATGTGCGGTGGCCTATGGTAATGTGTGGTAGCATATGATATGGTATGGTAGTGTGAGTTTGCACACAATCATATGAATAAATCTGCAATGCAGGTGCAGAATTCATAGAAGCGTCTAAATAAAACGTCTCAAAACTGGGCATAAGCGTGTGAATCAGAGACGAGCACTTTGACTTGCCTTG